AACTTAAAATATCGAAAAATATACAGCGCGCGAATTTTAAATGAGAATTTCCGAAAACTTTTCAGTCACAATGTAAATTAAATTTGTTAATAAATTAATTAATTTTTTAATCAATTAGTTTTTAATCAACAAATTTTTAATTTATTTAAATTATAAAAATAATGATTACAAAGGCATTGATTAATATTTTAAATTGATGCATTTGTAATTGTTATATAACAATTTCATTACTATTATTCTTAGTATTATTTAAAAACCATTTCTCGGCTTTTACCTTATTGTACTAAAATTTTTACTCAATACATATACATGATAGTTTTTTACACTTTTACACATATTTAAATTAGTGAGAATTGAGAAGAGCTTGGAATAAATAAGTACGTTTTAAAATTAATACTTCAATATGCACAGTTAAGTATAAATTTGACGTAATCTTGTACTTTTAAAATACATCAATCATAATTTTAATTACTTTCCACTAAATTTCACAACAAAAGCAATTAATTCATATAACTTTATGTAAAGTTATGTTATTTAAGCTTTTACCACTACTTACTTTAGTGTAAAGTCTAATTAAATTATAGATAAGCATATATTGTATTTCATTACGATTCTGAACCATATCCAACATACCTCTTTTCTATGCATTTTATATAAATCGGTCGCTGCGTGAATAATACTATCATAGCTGTTGTAACGCTTCAGTTCAGCATGTCTATTTCGTATTTTTCTCAGGGCATATTTACTTTTAAGATCCACAACTGCATAAATCGGTTCCTTCGTTGAAGTATTTGTAATTGACATCGTCGGTGACACTTCAAGTTCTTTTGGTATATCCTGTATTTTAGCAGTGTTTAGAGAATTGTCATTTTGCATTATAAATTCTTCCACGTTTGTTGCTGTAGTAGTCACTTTGGTATGTTTGTACTCCGCTGTCGAATTTACTGATTCCTCAGTTATTAACTCCTTAGCGCCTTTAATACTCATTCGATGTATTTTATTTTTCACAATTTCTATTGATTTGCTGAAAAGCATAAATGATCATTGTTACTTCAATATAATCATTTCATAGAGTCAGTACTAAAATCAAACATTTCAATTAGTTACTTTTCGAGTGACTGAATCTGCTCCCATTTAATGGTGCACACGTTAATAATAAAGTCTGTGCGTGTTGCTTGAAATGAGCTCATATTTTAATAGCAAATCTCTTTTTTCAATTTTATTGCAATCTTTGGGCAATATTTCAAAATATTGATATCAGATAACCTCATCAAAACCGATATCCGCACAACTGACACCATTGGATGCTGAACGCATGAATGCCAAACGTTGTTCTATTAAAAAAATTGAGTGTATTTTTTTAAAAATGTTCTGCTGCTTGGCTAATGGCAGAGATGAAAATAGAAAATGTTATTCTTTTTTTAACACATACAGATCTTTTGTTTATATTCGAAGTTCATTGCAGCCCCAAAGAATAACTAAAAATGATGCTTTCCAACTTCCCAAATGCAATGCATACGTGCATATATTTGTCAAGACACACACTAGTACTTATAAATATTTGTACAATACATAGAAACCCACAGCAATCTTGAGGGTACCGGAAAAGCACATAAGTACTGCTTTTTCTTTTAACTCATAGATTAAAAACTATTTAATTATATCTTCCGAAATGTATCCATAAAAAAATATAAAAACACAGCGACCATAAAATAGATTTGAGCTAAATTTAGTTTTTAAAACACTGTTCCAAAATAATGATGTACCCATTGTTCACACCCAAACTAAAATCTTACTATAATCTTCTTCTAAATTTTTCAATTTTTCAATGTATATGCATTGTAGAATAGCAAGTGTTATTAAAGTTAGACGGATTCGAATAGCAAAGAAAAGGAAAAGACAAAAATTTTAGTTAATTTATTAAAATTTGGCTGACCATAGAACGCTGTTTCAAGTATTGCCAAATACTCATCATCAGTGGTCTTAGGAAATATTCGAATTTCTTTTTAAATAGTTTGTAGTCCGTATATAATTGCATCCAAAAAAGGCGCTTTACATATAGTAAGTAAAAATATACATAACAGATATAGCTTTGAAACAAAAATAGGCAACTTCAAAAGTTAATTTGCAATTCGTTGAACTTGTGTTTTCAAATAAAGCTGTAGTTTATTAGCTCGATTTAATTTAAAGCAAAGCAAGTGCTTTGGTTAATGTCACTAATTAAATAAAAAGTGACAAAAAAAACCTGTAACTTGAGTATTGAAAGTTTGTACGGTCTTGGCTACTTGTGAAAAAACCGCTTCTACTTCGACAGGCACGAGTTCTAAGGCGGGCAGTTGCAGTCCAAACAAATTATATACGGACTATAAACTAATTAAAAAGAAATTGAAATATTTCCTAAAATCACTGATGATGAGTACTTGGCGTTGTATGGTCAGCCAAATTTTAATAAATTAACTAAAATTTTTGTCTTTGCCTTTTCTTTACTGTTCGAATCCGTATAACTTTTTTAAATAGTTTCTTTTCGTCATAAAGACGCGTTACTCTTGGCAAGAAAAAATAAACGTTATTAAAATTATTTTAAAGACTTACATTTCAACCTGGCACTTTATCTAAAAATGTTACAATTTTCCTGAGAAACTGCATATGCGCAGAGACTATAGGGTTCTTTTTCATTGCAGTGTTTTTCATGTAAAATGTGTTGCTATTAAATAAGCTCTATAGTTATTAATATGAAAATAATTTATTAATATGTTGAATAGGAATATGTATATTGTATATAGCCAATTTGAAATGATTGAGTTCAATTTAATTTACATCTAACATAGTATTTGGGTGCTACGTATCTCTAAACAAAATGTCAATGGAATAAAATATATGTCTTCGCTAGATTCACAATTACGGAGATATTACAGTCAATTGCGAAGCGGATGAGTTATACAGATAGGGTGTGTTAGGAATACATTTAGAACTTCTGAATAGTTAAAGCACATCGTTCGTGCAAACAATTGTTAAAATCGTCTTATATAAAACATTTTTATCTTAAATGAAAAAGATCAACGATATATAGACATCTGCAAACAATATAAAATATAAGTCTCAAAATTGGTTTGCTCACGGGATTTTATAGATTAGGAAACTAGGCAAAGAAATTGAATATTTCCTATAATAATCTTCTCACATCATTATCATCCGTAGCTATACAGGCTATATACGAGCTAACCTTGTTTTACAAGATTCTTCCATTCTTCTCTATTTTGTCTTCCAGTTGATGACAGTCATATTTCATATTTCTCAGATCTTCACGAACACTGTCACATTAGCTCTAGTTATATGTTATATTATATTTTTAAAAAACGAATGACATCTGAAGTGAATTTTCCACATTTTTGCAAACATCACATGCAATAAAAAAATATAATATTTACCTTTGGTTTGTGAAAGAACAAGTTGCATTGTCATAAAGGTTTATCCAGGAACTGAAAATATTCTTATCATCTAACCTATTTCCATTGAAGTGACATGCTATGCAATTTTCGAGGCCATCGATTTTGCTGTGTGTGTCTTGTGAACGATGACGACCATTACTCTCACTACACTTCGGAGCTAACATACGGCATGTTAAACCCGACGATGAATCTGCATCTTGATATGTTAAATCATTAACTATGTCTGTAGGGCAGGTACAATAAATTTCATCACTGAAAAGTAAAAAAGTGAATGTAACTAAAATGGATACTCAGAAAGTAAATAGTAATGGAATAAGAAAATCTTTGCTTTTAATTTTCTGAGATACATTTTTAATTTGAAAAGGAAATAAGAAAAAAACAAATACCGCTAACAATAATCTTAAGGTTACAGCAATTTCAATTCAAATAACTTTTGTAGTGACTTGGTTCTTCAATTTCTTATGCAGACCAGACCTATTTAACAGATTTCAGCACTAGTATTACAATTTCTTGTATTTTTAAACTATATATATATTATAATTACTATATTTTAATATAAATTATTACATTTATTGATCGAATCAAACTATGTTTATAAACTGAATCCTATAGTTATAATTAATAACTGTCGAGAACTTCTTCATTGCAACATGAAATAGATTTTTATTTAAAATTTTTTCTATACAAGTACAGAAAAAACTAGGATATTTACCAATTTGTCTTTTGATATCGTGTACAGCACGTATTTTTTGAAATCTTTTGGTTGCAAATCATTTGTAAATCCACTGAACTCACGCCGTTCCGCTCCAATATTTTAGCTGTACTGTGTGCAATTGGCAAGCGAACGCAACTAGCGGCAGCAATTGATGACGAAGTAAGCATTTGTTGCTCTTTTTGTTGTTGTTGTTGTATGTGCTGTGTTTTATGCGGAACTAAATAATTCGCTACATAACTTAGGGAGTCGTAACTTTGTGTTATGTCACGCCTTGGTTTGGAATTATTCGAACGCAACACATTCGGTATGTTATCCAAAGATATATTACAAAATCTTTGTGAGAATTTTTGTGTTGCTGTAGGTGCGTAGTTAGACAAGGCTTGAGTAGTAGCAAGACTATCTACAAGCATAGTTATCCACTCGCGATACACATCATTGCCATCATCACAGTGCTGTGATAAATATTAGTACAGTATACCTTATGAGATATGTAAAAAACTAAAAAATTGAAGAGTTTATAAAAATACTTACAAAAGTATATAAAGCTTGGGAGGTTGTTTCAATTGTGAAACGAAAACCTTCTAGTGGCCGAACGAGTGTGCCAGGCACTAGATTTAGTACATCTTTAAATGACACTAATTTATTGTCATAGTCTTCTTTGGAACTGTACGAAAGTAAAAGTTTGTCTTGCAGTACAAACCACATTTTACGCCATCCACCAACTTTCTAAGAAGAAACCAAGGAAATATGTATATTTTGTTCAAAATTCTAAATTTGTTTAAAAAATAAATCGCTGAAATATTTAATTCAATTCTATACTTACATTCCTTTTTTTCTTTAGATAACCACAGAGTTTCACTTTTGGATTGTTATTATAGTTATTCTGGTTGTTGGTCTTATCGTTATTGTTATTGTTATTGTTATTGTTATTGTGGCTTAAGCTGAACTCCTTATTTAAGGGCACAATTTGTGCTTTACTTAACTTTTTTTCAATAAGGTCCATTTTCTTTATACAAAAAAAAAGCAACTACTATTTCGATATGTTATTAAACATTCATATTTTAATGTCAACATATTTTACATTCACTGCCCCAAGGAATTTGTTCGTACCAACAACATGACGAAACAAACGTTAATCACGAACTGAGCAAGCATCAAACTCTTCTCTAGCTTCAAGCGTTATACAGACAGCACAACACGTCGCACATCTAACGAGCTCTGCTTCGTTACTCTACAACTCCATGGAGGGAATCACGGTCGAGTGCGTTTTCATTGTGTACGAGCAACAGCGCCACTCAGCGCTATCCAACAATTCAGTGATCACAAAATGACCATAGAATGAACGGAAGAATGGCAGTGAATCAGCTTTGTTAGAAAAATGGAGATAGAAAATAACGTTAGAATCAACTAAAAATTTTTATATAAAAACGTGTACTTCAAATGGTTATTTGCAATACAAAGTACACACATAGAAATATAAAAGTAGGTAAAATTTAATATGACGTCTATAATTCTTTAAGTGTCTTTAAGTGTTCAGTTTATCTATGTTTACAGAAAATACATATTTTTGTATTTATTCACTGTCTAAATTGATTGAATTAAAATCTGTGCAGGACTTTATGAAATAAATATTCATATTCAAAACTTTAACACGTATACTGGTTTATGTGTATATATAAATGATATTGCATTAAAGAACAGCTCACTTATTAATTAGAAGTTCAGATAATATCAATATCAATTCAATTAAAATTTCCTATCGATATAAAAAAATACTAATCTATTAATAAAAAGGTGTTATTTTTCTCAAAGCATTTAGTCTTGGTATATACATATAATACTATTTATCCGAACTAACCTTGATGCTAGTTTTTAAAACTGCTGTATTCAAAAAAATTTCTGACAAAATTATATATTTTAGGTATAGCTAAGCGCACAGAGAATTTAGAGATACATTCTCATAGATTTATATAAAAGTAGTAGTACTACATCTAAAAACTAAAGGGTTCACTGCTTACATTCTGGAAGGAGCGAACAAAATTCTCTATTTTATATATAAAGAAACACACAGAGAATTTAAAGGAATATTCTCATAGGCAACATAAAAGTAGTAGATATTTACAGCTTAACATGGTACGAAATAATACCACTAAGACTAAAACTGCGGGAAGGATTTAACATTGAAATTAAATAAATCATGGGAAATAAATCATAAAAAGTGGGTTTGTTTTGATAATACAGAAAAACACGTTAGCTATCTGACTAATTTGTGGATATTATTATTTTGAACTGGTGGTCTATTGTGTCATTTTGATAAGGCGATAATTTTTTTAATATAAACATTGGTAATGTAGAATGAAGGAGACTTTTATAAAATATAATATTTCATTGAGAGGAGACCCTATCCTATTCTAATACCTATCTAATAGAAAGTATCCTATTATTAAAGCGACTGTTATGTACAGTGAGAAAGAATGAAGGGGAAGGCAAATTCTTATTATGCGGAAATTTTTAAGAGACGTAAAAATATCGATTTCTTCTTCCTCATACCATAGCTATATAGATTGTACACCTGGTTTAATTTCACCTATTTAAACGGAGTATGAACTTGAAGAGCATAAAATTGTTGTTGTAGCGTCTATAAGACTCAATAATGCTAATAAAATGATTAAATAATTTATTTTTGAAAATGTAAATCTCAAAATATCTTCACATTTTATTGTATGTGGCTTGGTTCACATTTAATTTTGTCGACGCTTGGTGCTTCAGCCGTGCTGGTGCTTTGTGAGTTTGTTGTTGGTATTTGTGCAATTGTATTGTAATTGCTTTAAGTTACCTGTTTCATTATTCAGCGAATGATTCCAGTTAGTAAGTTGTTCCCATGCCAAAGTACGCATATAAATTTTATGTACCCATACCTTAAAAAAGCGCTTTCACTTTGTTGTTGTTATTGTTGTTACTCGAATTAATCTGGGTGACAAAGTCGTTTTCAAACCATGATCTTGCTTAAATATTTTTTATGTTAAAAATGAAAAATTGTGTTTTCTGTTTGGCACGTTAATAGTACACATTAATAATATACATACAGTAAGTGAAGTAAATAATTTATTTATATAAATTAAATGAAAATATTTATTATTATTTTTATGAATTATAATCTCATTATATTTCTTAACAATAAGTAGTATATAGTATTACTATACCTAAAATATTGCGTTTTATTTATTATTATTATTTCCTTGGTGTATTTACAATGTATTTATTATTATTACAATGCATTTATGTATTATTCTTTGGGTAAAGACACCGCTTTTAATAAGAGCATAGGGCGAAGACGAAGTTTTTCCATAGTTATCTGTCAAGAACCTTCTGCCGGATTTCGTTCCATGAACCAAATTACCGATGTTCAGTGCGGATAGAGCGCAGACAGATGACTCGTAGGCGGCCAGGTCTGCGTGAACCTTGGGGGTTCCAATCAAAGGCCATTTTCACAATTGCGGTGTTGTCTTTCCGAAGTGCGTGTCCAATCTGCGTCACTTCCGGCTTTTAACCTTGAGTTCTATTGGTACAATTTCTATTTTGCAAGAATAATGTTTTAAGAGTAATAGGGTTACAAGAATGGAGAAGAGAGATAATGGATAGAGTAAACTTATCAAACTGTGATGTTGAGTTATAAGAAGAAAAAATCTCTATTGCTTTCTTAAGCATGTGCTGAAGAATGCCTTTATTACTGTATTTAGAAAAAGATGAGTACATTATTTGTAGTTAATTAAACCAGGTACATAATTTAACTAATTATACATTTCTTATTAATATTTGATTAATTGGTATACGATTCACTACTTACAATGTTTTAAACTTTTTATAAAATAATCAAACTAGCAAGACACTGTATTCTTTTTGTTTAAAGGTTACATTCTATATCAAGTAATTATTATTGAATTTATTAACCAAATCAGTAAAGAAAACTGTCACTTATTAGTTTCTGTTGTTACTTTCTTATGTTCGATAATAATCAATAATGTTTTCTTTATGTTGTTTTGTCCAGATTTTTATATAATTATTTAGTGGATACATAACATCTTTTATTAAAAAACTTGATTCGTTTTTTAACGGTCTCAGTTTTATTTCTTAATAAAATTATTTTTAGTGTGATATACCACTGTGAGAACAGATCTCTTTGGTTTCTCTTTAAATTTTCTAAACGCTGTTGCTGGTTATCTTCATCACAAAATCGAACACCACACATTTTTTCTTTAGAACCAGGATTTACCTTTTGAACTACTACTTGAATTCGGTCTTGTTGACTACAATATTGTTGATCCCCGTATTGACGATTTTTTGGGCAATCAAAAAACAGATCAATAATATAATCAAAAAACAGCTATAATAATATAACCTAAGATGTACAACAGTTTATATGAGACTACATTAGCACAATTTTTGTGCTTCGGAATATGCAAAATATCAGTATTTTAGATGTGTATATGCAAAACATTGATTAATTAGTGACCTTGTTTATGGACTACGATATAGTTCCCATCAATCAATGGTGTGCCATTGATAGACGATGATGACAAATGATTTTCTTAAGGAATGTTACTCAGTTTTGGAGTCATAAGTCATCATGTCATATAAAGTGAATTATCAATTTAAGGGATATGAATATCTTAAAACAAAATTATATTCTGATATTGTAAATAAGAGTATATATTAATTTTATGCTATAAACATTAAATTTAATAGAATAGAATAATACAATAATTTGAGTATAATCAGAAATTACTTCGATCTCTAGGTTTTTGATTATATTCAATTTCTAGCAGCACAATTTTGTTTGTTTGAGTTTTGAAATATGTATATTATCACAAACTAAAATTTTTTAATTTTCTTTTATTTAATTTTTTTATTTATTTATTTATTTATTATCTTTTAAACAAAAACAATTATTTTCAACTGATTGCTAAAATATATTTTCACAAATTTATTTAATTTCACTCTTGGTATAAGTATATATCAGTGCTACAAAATATAAAATATATATTTTTTCAAGTTTTCATTAATTAATTCAAATATTTTATTAAGTTTTAACATTGACTTAATCATGGTCAAAATTTTCAGTCGAAATTATTTGCTTTTTATAGAGCATGACCTTGGCATTGTAATCCAATGTGTAATATTAAATATGTATGAGTTATTCTTATCGATATTATATAGTAAAACCTATTCGTTTTATATATTGACAATTTGGAAGCACATTTCATATAAATGATAACAATATAAACTATTTATATATATAAAATTTTTTATATTCTTTATTTACTAGAGAATATTATTGATAAGTTGCATATAATAATATATACGTTGTCTATGATACACGTTGCGTTTATTTATGTTTACTGGTAACAGAGTACCAGTAACCTTTTATAAGATCCCACTGAGATAACTTATTGTACTAGAATGATAAAGAAGGGTTCCTCAAACTGCATTCAACAACAAATAGAAGTTTTAAAAAGCTACTTTTTTTCAACCTTTTAGGCTTTCGAAAAAAATTTTATATTTTTCCCCTAAGTATAAATTAATATATATAGAATTTGTTACAGTTTATATTTAAAAAAAAAATCTAAAAAAGGAAAGTTTAAGGCATGAAAACGTATCTAGGTTTCACGGCTTTATTTGTATAATGAAAAAAAGTGCATTTTTTCTTCAAAAATAATTTTCAGCTACAATAAAATGATTTGATTGACTTAACAAATAACTAGGTAATAAAATTTAAGGATCGTGTCTTAATAACGTACAGGGAGAATTGCAACTAACAATTAACAACATTATTATGCTAATTTAATACGTTATCCAAATATGAAAGTATATTAAGTACATAATTTATGCAAATATATCTTATTATCTAGATATGCTTAGAAGTATGTCTGTGTGAATATCTAAACTAGGCACATATGATAATTAAATAATCATTTAATAAAATTAATTACAAAATATGTTAATACATGAGTTAAATCCATATTATATAATAGTAAAATATACAATTGGGTGATTTTAGAATGGTTATCTAGTAGTGCTATATTAGTTAGAAAGTAGAAAATATATAATTCCATTACGCGCATTATGTGATTATTTACGGGCTTGGCGATTCTAATTCTTTGCTGAACGACAATTTAGAACAATAAAAATACAAAATTGGACGACTGTAACACGTTTCGAGTTCCATCAAATGAAATCAATGAATTGTCAACATAACCTATTATGCGTAGAATGGAAATTTCTTAATTACCTAATTATGTAGTAACCAGGGACCGTAACAGTTATCATAAAAAAAATAAAAATCATCTTATAACTGTTATCATATGCATTTTAAAATAAAACTCAAAAAATAATAATTAAATTTGATTTTTATTATATTCATCAAAAATAATAATTATTATATGCCTTTTATTTTTTTCGCGCAGCAATAACTCTTAAAATTTGCTTCTTATTTTAAAACGCACAAATAACTGGTATACTTGCGTTATATAATATAAAAAGCAAGAGTATCGCGCAAATTCTGCGCGATATTTTTAAAATGAAAATATGAAATGCAATTTTCATACAAGGTAGTTGTTTTTGTAATTCCATAGAAAATGTTTTAAAAGGTTGGTGCAGGTAAAGATTTAGTTTAGTTTTTTGTTTTTGTATTTTGCATACATAATTTGTTCTTCTACATAATACATTTATAGAATACAAAATTTGTATGCAAAATACAAAAACAAAAAACTGAACTAAATCTTTACCTGCACCAACCTTTTCAAAACATTTTCTATGGAATTGCAAAAACAACTACCTTGTATGAAAATTGCATTTTATATTTTCATTTTAAAAATATCGCGCAGAATTTGCGCGATACTCTTGCTTTTTATATTATATAACGCAAGTATACCAGTTATTTGTGCGTTTTAAAATAAGAAGCAAATTTTAAGAGTTATTTCTGAGCGAAAAAAATAAAAGGCATATAATAATTATTATTTTTGATGAATATAATAAAAATCAAATTTAATTATTATTTTTTGAGTTTTATTTTAAAAAGCTCATATATAAAAAGCATGCATAATATTAAGGATAAAAGTTATTAGAATGATATTTACTTAAATAAGAGTTTAGACAACTTTTTGTTGCTGCTTTTTTTCATAAAAAATTTTAAAATAACTGTTATTTTCGGTCCCTGGTAGTAACTATAAATTCACAAAGTTTTTGACGAAACTCTCTTTTTCTCTCTCTCTTTCTCTCTGAACTATACATTTACTATAGCACAGAGTTGCTTTATACATAAATAGGAGATTTTAAACTCCCATAAACAAATTCATTAAGATTAAAGAGACTCCTCATGTTAGGTTTTTTTACTTTTCCTCTTGCTACGGGCGAACGCATAAAATAGATTTGTAATACTGCTTTCGCTGGTGCAACAGCTTTCAGTATCACTAACTCCACTCAAGGACTCCGCAGCCAATAAGCAGCTTGCGCTATGAGAATTATGTAGATTTGTTTTTAGTGCTGCCACTTTGGGAGTATGATTTTTTAATTCCGGAGAAAGTGAAACGTAATCTTCGCTTTCGTTTTTTAATACTGCCGTCGAGACTTGTGCTTTCAGCGGCGTATTGGAGTGAGTTATCCATTTGGGTATCACTGTGTGTCGACGTACCAGTGGTCGCAAGTGTGGTGGTGGAGGACGCAACACAACACTTCGTCTTGCTGCTAAATTGCAAATTGGATGACTTTCCCGCTTGATCGGTTGTTGAATTTGTTGCACTAATGAAAGATGTTTTCGTTGCAGGGATTTTGGATGACAAAAATGACTCTTCGACTTCACTGAGTTGAGGCTGCTGCTTGCGATGATGTGCATATTGTTGCAACATATGCTGATGCTCGTAGATTCGCTCTTGCGGCGACCACTTGTCTGTAATGGGATTATATCCTTGAGTGGCGTTGATGTATTCGACGGCGGGAGGTGCAGACTGGACGGACGATGAGGTGGATGAGGTAGATTGTTGACTTGCGCTACTGTGCTGTTTAACCATTTTTTTGTTGTTGTTGCTGCCGCTGGTAGTTCTAGAGTTTCCTGTTGCGATAATTGTATTAAAGGGTTGTTGTCCGGATATTCCACTTGATTTTGATGTGTGTGCTTGTTGCTGCTGTTGTTGTCTGGAGAAGTATGTAGTGTAGATTTCCGTTGGAACCAAGTCGGTACTTTGGGATCGCAACATTTGGCTAATTTAAAAAAAATTAATTTTAAAAACAATTAAAAACTTAATAAGCAATGGTATAGGAATATTATATATTAGACTTTTAGTAAGCTAACCCAAACCAATAGAATAATAGTTAAGTGTGTCAATAATGACACATTTTTAATAAATATTTTTTTATTCATTGTATTCTTTAATTAGCAATAAACGTAGGAAATGTTTTTATTAACAATTTATGTTATTGTATTAGTAACAAAAGAAAGCAAAGACACAACAGCGGCTTAATAAGGTTTTATTCTACTAAATGAATTACAAATATATACGAAATTTCAAATAAATTAATATGAAAATATAAGGGATATCTCTTTCAAATTTTCTTCATCTTAATATTAATTTTAAACTGATTTGTCCTTTTTCGCCGATAAGTAAGTTGCTATGTCTTTGCCTTTACTTAAATAATTTAGCGCTTGTTACGTACATTGATCTTTAGAAGGAAACTTATGTATAGTTTTTCTACTTTATACCAATATTAAATTAGAGATATTCATGTCCTTAAACAATAATGACAAACACTCTATATTATTGACATTTTGGAACTTTTCGCATATTTAGAAGCTACAAAAACACGAAGAGTTCATGTAGATTTTTGTTTTTGCGTTCTGAAATTGTAAAATTAAAGATATAAAATATAATAATAAATAAAAAGACGGATGGCTGAAGGATGAAATTAACAAAATGTTTATGTTGCTTGCATAATTGATTAGTTAATAAAAAGCATAATTTTCTAAAACGGAAGTAGATTGATAATTTATTTGTAATTATGTGTTAATATTAATAAATTGCTAATTAGAGGTGATATATTAAAGCATATATTAAAACAAAGTTAGCCAAAATGAATTCACAACAGTTATGTGTGGTAATTTACAGTTTAGGTTGTCAGTCGTCTTTTAAAAGAAGATTATGCTACCTTTTTTATATATTTTCGTAAAAAAATATATATGATCAACATTATATTTCTAGGGGATATACATATATAAAGAGTAAAATTGGTTTATTTTATTGGTTTATTTATTGAATCTTTCTAAATAGAAATTGACAATAATTTTGCAAATCTTAAAAAACTAACATATATGCTATTGAGCTAGGGTATTCATATTTATCAATGGTTTCCTTTTAAGGCGATTTAGTGGAGTTGCAAAAGATAAGTGTCGAACACGAGGATTTGGATGCGAGTCCAAATATTTGTCATTGTTAAGATCACCTAAGAATGATCTGAAGACAAATCATCAAAATATCTTATATCTGCTGATCCAGGAATATATTTCTGGATCGGCAGAGATATATTCCTTATTTAAACACTTGATAACACCGAAATCGAACAAATCGGGAGTTTTACTGGTATCGGTCAGTATCGGCCAATAAGTGGGATTTCCAAATGATATGACTTTGAGTTCCTTATTTAAAGTCGTACTTTAGAGTACGAGTATTGCCGAAAGTGTGACTTAAAAAATCATAAAAGTTTCTTTGCACGTGAAAATTAAAATCTCATTACCGTGTATTATTTTATGTTATAGGTTGACATTTCCTTAAAATAAGTATTACATACAATGACTACTGAAGTAGGTATAGTGAGAAGGAGGCAGAAGAAGGATATATTCGCATGCAACGCTAATTTTACAAAAGTTGGACGTGAAAAAATTAAATCTGTTTATTTTTATAAATAGACCAGAATTCTTATTACTGGACACTGTGCTATAGGTTGACAAGCCTCAAGATTGGATACTACAAACAATGAATACTGCAGAAGCTGTTGGTTACTTATCTCTAACAAGATTTCTATAATGTGTGATAAGATAATGATTCAACGAGGGTTGATAATTTGAATTAGATATCCTATTGGTATCATGCATGTTGAAACTGGCTCTAAGAGCGAACGGAACTATGTTTCGAAAGCCAAAAGCAGTTCATCTCCCCTTAAAGAAACTCATATTGTATCTGAGAAATCAAACGATTTATCAGGAACAATTAACAGAGATAACAGCGCTGAGTAAAACTAACCTCTCTTAGAAAACCCTAAGAAGCATCATAATGGTCAGCATGTCTTTGAATAGAAGTGCCTTACCTAACCTGATGTTACAACAGCAATATGTTGAGACATGGTTCTACGAGAGGCTTAGTGAAAGAAAATGGTGAAAAAATACAGTTTACAACTATAGTAATATATTGAGGTAATTATTTATTAGAACTATATGCTAGCCATACAATTTCAGCATAGTTTAATTTATTACAATTTATAATCACTGTGTTAAACTGAAATAAAGAAAATCCTCTTCCATAATTATTAGCTAATTCTACTTGTTTATAAATACGATTTTTATTTTGCTCTCATATTAAAATACGATAGGCATAGATTCGTTAGTTAAAATATATTAATATTTATTAAGACTAAATATTAGTGGGATTCATATTGTTTTTAGTACACAAAATTGTATATTTGAACCAATTCTTTTTTCTAAGGACTGTAAATAGAGAAAGGTTGGAAAACAGTGAAGTAAGGGTCAACAAACTAACTTTAAAAGTTTATTAAAAAACAAACCTCGGAGTCGATTTTCGAGGTGGAGGTAGAGGTACCCGACCTATAGGTCCACTCGGTGGTGGTGGCACTGACGAAGGGTAATTATGCTTTTTAGTACGAGGAGGTACCGTAACTGAATGTTCTGATGATGCAGATGGACTATGACGGTTATCATCTCCGATGCTATTCAAATAAATACATTAAATATCAAATACAGTTTATATATTTAAAAAATATATATAATGCGGAATATATGCAGATAGATAGGTGACATAAACGTATATAATGACCACATAAACAAATATTAACAAACTTGATGATGACCTACCTATCACTAAAAGTGAAATTCGTTTGTGCATTATTGTGCGATGGTAACGCTGGTGGAGGTGGTAAAGCGGAACTTAACGGCTGTATTGCAAGAGGAGTAGATGGTATTGTTGAAATCGATGAATTTATATTATTGCCAATATGATTTATAGCTTCTAGTGGTAAAGTGGCACGTTGTCCTGCAATATTCGCGGGCAGCGTATTTGTAATGGAGGGCGTTGTTGGCGCCGTACTCAAATAAAATTGTACAGATTGAGTTTCAGCACCATCGTCACTGCATGAAGAATCATCCCGAATATTATTTGAGCTGCTATTTATGATACTGCTGCTGCCACCACCAAGTCCAGCGGAACTTCTGCTGTATGTGTCGAGCATGCCTGGATAAAGACACAAAATTTCTTTCTCTTTCGATAATCATGTACTATAAATAATCCCTTAAATGCACATTTTACGAGTATTTTCACTAATTTCAATTTATAATGATATTTATGGATATGCCGAAATACATTAATTTGCTTTTAAACTGATTTTAAATTAACTTTATATTTAAGTTCAAAGTAAAAGTAAATAACTTGAATAAAAAATATTTAAGAACAAACTCTAAACACAAAAGTTTATTAATTTACTTCAACAAAGGACATCAGACACAATGAAATTGCGTTAATCATGCCAACACTCATGCACATATAAATCAAATAAACAAAAAAGAACAATACGTCAAGCACAAAAATTATTAATTACCTTACCTTTGCAGTGATACTTTTGCTACATAAAATTAATCAGGAACCATAAACATGATGCATAGAACTCAGAAATTGGTGGGGAAACATCAAAAATAAAAATGAAACAAATAATTTTCTTGTGCGAATAAATATGAACTGAAAAATTTATTGCAAAATTGTCGTTTTATTACAAAAATGTATTATTCTTTTTTATTGTTATTGTAAGTTTTTTAAACTTAAAAATATAACGGTTTTGTTGTACAATTTGAACAATTTGCATATTAAGTTTGTATGTGAAATTATTTAATCCATTCCGGTGAGAATCGTAAAACAAACAATATTTTTATAATAAAATTCGGGATAATTAATTTGTATAATGAATTCGAGATATGGATGAAGTTTCTTGTGTTGTGTTGGTGTTGGACATGACTTTAGCAACTTCAGTTAAATAAATAAATTAAATATTTAAGTATAAGTGGGACTTGTGTTGTTTGCAGTTTGTGCTGACCTATCGTAACGAAGTAATAAATTTAATTTTGAAACTCAACTCAAAACAATCATTTAAAATCATTATTCAAACAAAGAATTAACATACAACGTGTAACACCGGAAAGGATTAAGTACTTCGTTATTACATCGAAAAATACTTCTTAGTATAACAGATATGAATATGCAAAAATAATTTAACAATACATTATTTAAAAAAAAAACAAAGCTTTCTGTTTAAAAAATATATTTAACTAATTAGTTTACGATTCATTTAAGATTGAAAAATATGCAGATGTACTGGGGTATTGGTAATTAAAAAAGAAGTATTATAAATTGTGATATAAACTGTAGATGTGAAAAAAAATTAAGTAGTAATGCCAAAACTATGCAACTTTTCAAATATGAATAATAAAAACGTATTTAATTCTTAAATTTATTATTGATCACTCTTACGATATATGTTTGTTGTTGTTTTTGCCAACAATCAATTGGTGAACAAAACTTGTGTCTGGTGTAAATTTAAATCAAACTTCAGATATTAGATATTTTGGATAATTTAAATTTTCACAATTAAAGCGGAAATTGAATGGAAATTAGTATTTGTAAACAAATTTTGAAAAAGATCTAGCAAGGATATTTTGTTTTTATATATATGGCACATGTACATACAGCACATATAAGTTATGGTAGCACAAACTGAAACTAATTTAATACAATCACTAAGTTATAATATATTGTACATATTAAAATCAAAAACAATGGAATGAATAAAGAAGAATTTATATCATAGTATAAATTACATTATTACATTATAGTATGTGTAATATAATATATAATTAGTTTTATCGTTCACCAATATTTTTTATTCACGCTGAAGAGCAACACAAAATACAATAAAATTTTTCAGAAAAATCTTTAACGCTTTAAAATTCGTTACTGTAATATTAATAAAGTAGCTATCTAAAAATATTAAAAAAGATTCATATTTTTCACAGCTTATTGTTAATCTTAGAACTAAATAAATTTATATAGTTTATTGAATCTGCACACGTACTTTCCTCTTTCTTTTTCGAACTTTTTAAATGATTCCATTCAGTTTTCTAAACTATTTCTGTTGTTTTTATCAAACCAAATCATTCTGCTGCGAGCAAAGAAAAGTTCTCAAAATTGAGCTTACCTTGAACGGATTCATCATCTAAATCATCAGTACTGCTGCTTGTAATGCGACCTATTGTTTAATATATTAAATAAATTAATAGGTTTAAGTAAATTTTGAAGTATCCCAATAGTTACCTCTTGAACCTTTAATAGTACCACCATTTCGACCATATAAGACACTTTCGAGATATGGTAAACCGTTGTTATTTACAATATTTATTCCTAGGCACGTTTCAATTTGTTTCCATCGATGTAAACGTTCCTGCAACTCATGGGTTACTTCACCTAGTGCGTTACGGGCTTCAACTATTGATCGATCAACGTCATCAATGCTTTTGCCATGTGTCGAAACGAATGCACCAACTAAACTTGAACGCTTCTTCCGCAGCTTTTCACAAGCTTCACGTGCTGATTGCAATTGCTTCTCGGCAGATATACGTTTTTTCATATGATTTTTACTTTCTAATTCATAAGTATATTGTAACCAAGACTGCAATTGTGGCGGTGGTGCCCAACAATTATCTACTAATTCAATTTCAGCACGTGACAGTTCTGTTCGAAGTATTTCTATTTCTTTTTTAAGTTGTTGCACCTCAAGATCTGAACTGGAAGAACTAAGTGAAGGCGCTTCTTTTAAACGTCGCTCTAGATCCATTTTCTCCGTAGCTACATTTTCTTGTTCCATTCGTGCACGCTCCAATTCCTACAAATGTATAGTATCATTCAAAAATATATAACACATATTTTATATAGCTTAGAAATTACCTTCTGCATCTCTAAAAGACTTTGTTCAGCGCGTTGCAAACCTTCCATATCTTGCGCCATTCGTCTTAGGTGACGTTTAGCATTTTTGTTTTGTTGATATGCATACCAACATCCAATAATTGCACTTAATAATAATGTTACTAATATATAATCTTTCCATCTAGTACCGGTTTCTATAAAAAGCGTTAAAATGATTGATAAAAGATTTTAATAATATGTAACATGTGTTATTTAAAGTATTTACTAACCACGAGGTGGGCCAAAAAGAACCACATCCATTGCTTTTAATGATATTTTCTGTTTGTGTATTGGATCCTTGATGCCTAAAACATTACTCACATAGTGCATATTATTAACCGCTAATCTGAAACATATTTAAAAGAAATAATATATATTTTGTGGTTAATCATTTAAATGTCCATAATAAAGAAAATATATTATTGAAATAACCAACAACCAACAACAACAGCTAACATTTTTGATTTTTCAGCTTAAAAAAACTTGTATCTATTACTAACAGAACTTTACATATTTTAATACTGCGATGTATAGACACGAAACAAATTATTTTAATAGTAGCTGTGAACGGTGCACAACTAAACTAGACAGTTAATAGAATAGAAAATTTTGGTCCCAAGCTCAAATCGGTTAAGTAATCATTAAAAACTAATTACAAAAGCAAGCTTAATGTTTTATTTAATACAATAGCTTTATATAGAAACAATACATGCACAAGTACATAAACAACTTTATAAGTAAATAATTTGACTGTTTGAACTTGAAATGGATAAAAATGTTTCATTTCAAAAAATTATTTAGGTATATCAACATTTCCTTAAACGTTGATATTACATTTCTGTGTAATCTTTACAATGTGTGTTATAATTGCATGGTTTCGTATTTCAAATATGTATTTAAGAAAAATAAAAATTAAAAACTATAACTACTAGGTTGAAATAAAAACTACAAATCTGTCTTTACTGTCTTTACCACCAACACATCCTTCCCCTATCTCACACAACCCTTCTTCTCTTATTTCACACCCCATCCCAACCCATTTATTAGTCATATTATCCTTTTCTGTTTTCTTCTCTTTTAACAAGAACATTATTATCAGCAATATTAGAACTACTCTTGCATGGTGAATTTTTCTAATAGGTGGATTAAAACATCCGATATAATGAAGAAGAATATCTATTACACGTAATTGATGTTAAAATTTTATAAACATATTATTATGATAAAGACTATAATAACCCATCCCAGCCCATTTTTTGGTCATGTCATTGTTTTCTGTTTTCTTCTCTTTCAATAAAAACATTATTACAGTGGAAGTTCACAAATTAGAATTCTCTGAAATTCGAATCTTTCAAAAATTAGAATTGAAGTTTGTAAAGCATTAAACGCTCTAAAATTAGAATTAAAAATTCTAATTTTTGGGCGTGTTTTTTTTTTTGTATGGATTTACCTATGTTATTTCTGTTCATTTAGCAGAAATAGATCTGAACAATAGCATCTGTATAGAACATATTGAAAGATGGAATGAAGATGTGCTTTATGAAGGATCTACATATGAACCCAGTAGTGTTGTTGAGTATTCAGATAGAAGCAAAAGCAATATTGTTGAAGTCTTAACAGTTGTTTCAAACTCGACAACCATTGAGAACGTTAATAATTTAACGAAATGATGCAACTATAGTGAATTATTTTCCACTAAGCACATAAGCAATTTACTGGCTCCCCACTTTGATATAGTTACCTCAGTTTTAAAAAAACCAAAAAGCAAACAAATATATCTGAGAATATAACATATGTCACAGAAAGATTAGTTTTAAACTTATCGATTGCGCCTCTATTAACTTTGAATTAATTTCTTAGTTTTGAACATTATCTCAATTATCCATTTTTATATAAAAAAATATAATATGTACATGTGATGTAATTGCAGTAAATCTTTATGTTTTGTTGTGCATATAGTTAAAAAATACAAGTTATATGTATTCCCCCGAGATTGTTTAGTTTCGTTTTCTTATTTTTAATAAATAAAATAAATTGAAAAAAGAAATCTATTGTTTTTTTTTTTTAAATAAGTTTTCTACATTTTTTATTTATATTCGAATAAAAAAATTGTCCAGAAATTAGAATCTTTCAGAAATTAGAATTACCTTAAAAACTGTATTAGCAATACTAGAACAACACTTGTATGGTGAGTTTTTCTAACAGGTGGAATACAACATCCGATATAATATAGAAGGATATCTATTGCACGTAATTGATATTACAATCTTGAAAAATTTTTTGAAAACATTTAATCACGCTATTAAGCATAGTAAGCATGTATTTTCAAATATTTATTCATAATTATATAGTTCATATAGAAAGTACAAAATAAGAAAATTGTTAATATAAATTATTACAGCAACATGATTACGGTTAATAACTACTCTATTGAATTATTAGTGTTATAATTATCTAATTACCTGGGTAAAGTTGCACCAGTAACTTTATGTTGTTTAAAAAGTTCCACATATTGAGGTAACTGCACGGACTGTGCTAACCAGTCTGTCGTTTGTTCTATAGTCCAGTTGTGAACCTGATTACATTTTTTTAAATTAAATCTTAAAATTTTATAATATTTTTAATAATTTAAAACATTTTACCTCAGAACGCAACCATGCTTCCCACAGTTCCTTAACAGAAATGTGCATATCATCATTAAAGTGGAACACTTTTTGACGTTTTTCATATCCAGAATCATATTTCAGCTCTTCACGTAAAAACTGTATGAAATGTGTGAGAAAAGCGGAAATATTCATTAACTTGAAAACAACCACAAAATTATGTATTATTTAAATATTAATTAATAATTATATAAACATGTGAATTCTGTGATAATAAAAATGCTAATATTAGATGAGTATTTCATATTCAAATTCACAAATTGATGTAATGAAAATAACAATTAAATTTCAAAACATAACACATACATCATCAGATTCACTTAAATCAATATTGCCATTATCATCATCATCTAATTGACGATGTAAAGTGCGTATAGCCTCCATGCCTAAACGATCTTGCACATTCCCACTATAGCAATCCAAATCATCAGCTTGACAAGCACCATCTGCAGATCCACTACCTAAAGCACCTGAAAATTTGTTAATATTTTATAAATTCATATATATGCCAGATTTTTAGTTATTATTTTTTAATAAAAAATATAAAAAATAATTGTGCCTCATTTTATTTTTTTAAAAAAAGTTTATTTGAAATATAAAATATTCAAACTAAATGTGCGATTTTCGTTTATTTTTAAAATTTTTTTTAGGCGTGAAAGTATAATAAATTCTGTATTAGATACAACAGCTTAATAACAGTAACTTTATTTGCATTTTATAGCTTTTATCACATGCTCTATTATAACTGAAGTGTTATCTTGGTATGAATGCAAACATTAAAAAAACATTTTATGTATCAAATAATTAAAATAAACAATCTGATTAAAAAAACATTTTATGTATCAAATAATTAAAATAAACAATTTGATTAAAAAAACATGCGCGATTTTGCAAGAAATAAATTTTTTACAATTTATGTAATTAAATGAAAATTCGACAATTTCGTTAGTATATTAAGTGACCACCAGACTGTAATGGTTGAGTGAGTATCTGTTATCCAAAACTAGCACTCATTGTCACTGGCAATATTTATATAACATTTTCAGTTCAATGTTTTATTTTTCGGGTCATTTTCAAGCTGTAAGAATACTTTTTTTACCGCTTTAATACACATGGGAGTCATAGGAACTGAAAAACCAAAAAGAGAGAATTGTAATTATAACATATAACTCTTTAATTAGCATTAAACTGTTCTATTAAAATCGCAACCAATTAAAAATCGCTCTTTACTACCAATAGGTTATGATCAAAACATCAAATCCGGTAGGATTACGTTGACATCAAATTCTTTTTCATAATATTTAATATTTGGGACAAATATACCCCGATATTAAGTCACATATCAAGTGTGAATAGGACGAGTTGCGTGTGCACGAAAATTCTGTCCATTACTCACGTCAAATAAATACCAATTGTAATAAATAGTATAGTATTCTAAAAAATATTCCCGGTAATAACAGAACAAGCCTATATTTAATTGGTTATTGTGCGAGGATAAGACGAATGTTATATGATTCCATCCTTTAGAATGTTCGTTATAGGTGTATATATATATGTATATATTAGAAAGTTTTTAAAATGCCTATTTTAAATTACAAGTAATTAATGAGAGAATTATGTCGTTAGTTTTCTGTCATGTATGGTATAGAACGAAAAAAAGAAAAGTTTTTAGAACTTACTAAATTCGTTGCTAACAGCTTGTGACATCGCTTCGCTAAGTAAATTATAAGAATTTCTTTTCTCCATATGGCCACTACCAGGTGCTGCATGATATATTGAATGTGGTCCTCCTTGTGTGGGTACATTATTATTGCTACTACTGCTGCTGACTTTGTGGTACACGGAAATGGTTTGGGCTTGCTGTTGAGTATGATGATTGAGATTTTGTGGTTGTTCCTGTAGGTTTTGTTGTTGATTTGCTGCTACTGGCACTGCGACCGATTCGCTTTGTAGATGTGTACTATATCGATTTGCAGTTAATAGCCCAGCTGAATTAACAGCAGGTTCATCTGCCAATATAAGGCATCTTTGAGATATTAAAACCAAAAGTACTATCAAATGAAGGCACATTTCTTTAAACATTTCGTTAGAATTTTTCTCTCTTGTACACAATTAAGTAAAATTTCTATCTGCAAGCAAAGTTAATTCTTATGTAATTTATAAACACTGTAAGCTGTTCAGTATATGCATTTAGTCTATTTTAAAGTCAAATATAAATTGAAATATAAATGTACATCATTTTATCAATCAGTAAATTTATCTCTAAATAATCAATGACGAATTTATTGAAAAGTATAGAAATTTACTTATATTTAATTAATATTAGTCTCTGTATGTTGTGAACTAAATAACTTTTATTTATTGTTAGATTTTAAATGTAATAAAAATTAATAACTTCTAAGCCTTAAGAGTTTCTCTTAATTGCCAGATGCTTGCGTAGATAAGCCTTGTATAAATAACAATCTACATTCATGGAGTGCACATAAAAATGTATCTACAATATCAATGAAATGGTTTTGCCAAAAACTGTTATTTCAATTTTGTGTGACTAAGATCTAAGATATTTCTAAGATATTAGAAAGAAGATTTATAAAAAAAATCTTCTGTATTTAAATATTAATGTTTTAACTCTATAAAAAGAAAAAATAATGGAAAGACATGCAACAAGTTGTGAATAGTTTCCACTTCCATTGTGATAACTATGATGCATCTGTTTCCCCTCACCAATAGTTTTTTAATTATTAAGCTATTTTAAGAAGCCATACTTTAAATAATTATTAATAATAATTATTTCTACTTTTTATTAACTATTTTCGTACTTATGCCTATGCCGCCAGTGCAAGAGTCAATAAAATAAAACGAACAAAGTCAACAAAAATAAATTAATTAAAAAAATATGTACTGTAAAATTAAATATCGATTTTCTAATATTTTTTATACTTTTTTCATAGAAAATAAAAAACAAACAACGCACAGAGTCAATTTCGCAGGAGAGGAGGGCACGAATTATCGTAACAAACGTTACGCGGTTCTGGCGCTACTTTATAATGTAGCTTTAATAACAAACAATAGATATGATCACACAGTGAAGCAATATTAAAAAATTTCAATTTTTATTCTTATTTTTCTCAAATTATAAAATAATAATTGGTAATTACGATTACCTTAATATATATAAGTGCGGTCAGTCAGCTTGATTGCACTGTATGCACACTTAGACATATAAATATTATTATATGTAAATAATTTATATTCTGTAATTGCAATAATTCTTAGTTAAAAACATCAAACTTAGTTTGAATGCTAATATATTTATTTAAAATATTGAAAGCAAAAAAAACTGTTTTGCTATATCTTAAAGTCTTTACAGTAGCTTGAGACCAAAGAGGCAGAAGATTATTTATTAAATGTTGAAATTCAGGCTAAAGCACATATGTTTAATTTTTGTAATGAATAAAACGAAACCAATATCTTACAATAACTTTGATCGGAATTGGTTTACCGTTTTAACCTACTGTACAATGTATTACAGACATATATAGCTTTTCATGATCACACCGGTTTTTCAAGTACCAAAAATTTGATCACAAATTATATATGAAAGGCGCTAATAACTGTAAAGTAATTTAAAGTAATTATTACAACGAAATCTAGGGTAGATGCGAAAACAAAACCGAAAGATCTCATTTACCATTTAAAACATTTGTGTTTAATTTGTACTTATTGTCATATATATCAATACACATCTTAACGATTTTCATTTTCTATTATTTATGCACAGATTTAAATAAGAAAAAAAACTATTTTCGAGGTCGAAGCATTGCAAATTCTTTAGTCATTTTTAAACAAACATAATTTGTACAATTTTTACTATTAAAATGTAAATATATATTTTTTTTAAGATTTTGCTAAAACAATTGTGTACTAGATAAGATGCGCACTTCTATAACTTTTAAGTTAAATTATTTAATGTATTTTATATTCTTTGATGAACTTCTGTTTTACGTATTGCATATTAAATATAAAAATATTTTTAACCCATTACGATTACCACAATTAATTTAACATTTTCAGGTCACACAATTGTTTTATCTTAAAAATATATCACAAGATATTACATTTATTTTTACTAAATTCACTATAAGATTCATCCGTCGTCAAGAAAATGTATGTTTTGCAATTTGTCAAAATACTTCTGGTCACAGTGTTACCATATGCGGAGATTTTTTATTACAACATATAATACAAATATCAGACCTTTCGCTTGTACACAGTGTGACTTGCTCTATTACTCCATTTTTGTAGATATACATGAGTTACATATGCATTTACTTAGACGCATAATAAGTACAAATATAATATAATGGGCAATAAAGTTAACCCATTATAAAACATACATTTTAATAACTTTATTATATTGGATAATTTTATTATTGTTCCTGACAATTTCTGATAATAGAAATTTACTCATATATTTTTATCGTTAACAATATTGAATGATTTCAATATTGTTCGTGACAATTCCTAATTGGACAATTCATCACACAATTTGTATAATAAATAGAATCATTGTTTAATAAACTAATAGATGTTTATTAATTATGCGTATTTAAGATATAATAATGCATCTTTTTGACAACAAAATGCGATTATTAAACACGTACTCAATTATATCAGAAATTCTTTGATGATAATGTATTCAAGTAATATTGGTATAAAGTCACGATCCTAACATAAAATATGTTTTACGACAGATTTACATTTTAGAAGCGTCGATCCTATTGAATATTTACACAGACGCTTTTATACTACGTTTCCACTACGTACTTAGTAAGTCATATAGGAACATTGAGCTTTTTGCGTTTACATTATCATGAGTTACTTAAGAAATGGGAAAGAGCTTTTATGTGTCAAAAAGTTCTAGATTTAGATCTTTTACATTTTAATTGTGTACAGATGATATTAAATGTTGTATTATTAGAAGAAAATAAATCAGATTGAAAGAAAATGTAGAAAATTTAAATAATTTAATATATAATGTTTGTAATGTTGTTCACAATATAAAAGCGGCAGTTGCTACATATGTAAAAACACATACAATACTTTTTAAAAAATTACAAATAATTCAAAATCAACAAATGATAGCGCTTTCTTCAATGATTACTAGAAAAAAAGGAAGTGCTGGACTTTAGTAAGTACGGGCAGTAAATATTATTAAATAAAGAATAAAATTTTACTGAGTCGCTACTTTAGATAAGAATGAAATCCGTATGTCGATTCTAAGAAGACAACAGAGTGCTTCAAAACAAGTTTGAACACTAAATAACCACAATCTCAATAGAAAAGAAATAAGGCGTTGTTTCAATAGTTTTAATTTTCAGTAAGTATTATTTTCACTAAAAACTAATAATAACACTAATAACTTATAAATTAACTTATAAATTTTGTTTCATGTGTCAAATATGTCAAATTTCGATCATTTCCAATGTTGCCCATTTCCAAATTGATCGAATTTTGTTTACTATATTCTACAGTAAATGAAAAAGCACGGAAGCACTTTGTATGGTTAATGCAATTTACTCACTAAATGAAACTTACTAAGTACGTACTTTTAGATTGAAAATAGAACAACTATTCTGATTGGATAATCCAATCAGTATAAAAACAGTACACCAGTGAACTATGTCGTCGTTGTAATATCGATTTCCGAGCATAAACACATCTTGTTAATTATACTTCTTTCGTTTGATTCTTTTCTTCTTCAAAAATATTTAATGTTAAATTTAATGTTAATGTAAAACAAATATTTTTATTCAAAAATATAAATCGCGTTTTTTTAATATTTATGTTACGTAAAAACATAATTCATGACAGTTGCATAAATAAAACATATGGAATCAGTTGAAATTAATTAAAATATATATTACATTAAAAAGCAGATTGCGTAAAAACCAAATTTTATGAGTCGAATTATGCAGATAACGAATATTTATAAAAATTTTTTTAAGTGGGAAATTAAAAAGTTTGTTCCCATATTTTTGCTAGCAAAACTTTTGTCAAGAGCAAAAGAAGAAAGTCATGTACGGAAAAATTGGTAATAACTTGCCAAATATGAGGCAGCACAAATCAAATGTTCTATAAATATTAAATATTTATCAAATTTACATAATTAAAATTAAGTCTTCTAAATTAATACAGTTATCATCTATGTTGTTATCCAATTGAATTGTTAAATAAATTTTTCTTATTTGTACTTTTAATATATTTCTTAAATGCTACCAAATTTTTATTAATTTTTAGTTCTAAAAGTATTGTCCGTAAAAATTTATATATCTTTATAAAATAAGACATTAACACAAAACCATTATGAGAGGAAAGATTAAAATAGTGTTTTGAAATATTTTCTAATTATAAATTTTATTAATAATATTTAATTATTATCAAATAATTTTTACCATAGCTACAAAAAAATCTATTAAAGCCGTGTGAGAGTTCGGGTAAATTGAGGTAAAGTACATTGAAATTTCATATTGATTTTTTGCACTGCACTTATGTAATATTTATTTATTGCACTTATTTATTATTTTTAGTTAAAAGTTTCCATATTTATTTATTTATTAAGGTCGTGTGCGAGTTCGAGTAAATTGAGGGAAATAGTAAATTACGTCGGCATGTCAGCGAAAGTTGGTATTTACCAGAATTTCATAGGGTACGGTTAATTAAATGAAAATTAGGTAAATTGGGTGTTACTATTGTGAACATTTTATAAATTTGGAAACTTTAAACCAAAAATAATGAAAAAGTGCAATAAATAAATATTTACATAAGTGTAGTGCAAAAAATCCCTATAAAATTTCAATTTACTTTTCTTCAATTTACTCGAACTCGCACACGACCTTGTTAAACATCTTATAAAATGTTCACAATTACAAAACCTAATTTACCTAATTTTTATATAATTTACCCTACTCGTAATTCTGGTAAATACCAACATTCGCTGCCATACCGACATAATTTACTGTTTCCCTCAATTTACAATCAATTTACTCCAACTCGCAAACGGTCTAAAAATATTTGTTTTTCCTATAAAAATAATACACGAAGGACCCGTTTGCTCCGCTGTTTAACTGCACTATTTATGTGTGTTTAGTTGTTGCACGCCACCATATGTTATGCTTGATTTTGACATAAATAACATTGGAAACAGTTCCAAAATTTCTTAATAGAATATGGATTTTATTTGTAATTGTTTTACTTGAAGTTTTATAACAAAAGCAAATCTTTTTAATGTTATTTTGTTGTTTATTGTATAATTGGTAGAAAAATGGATCGTGTTAATAAATGGTCAATTTGTTGGATATGTACCAAAGAAGTGGGCACTTATTCTATTTATGATGAAATAATTAATAGTTACTTTAAAAATTTAACATCGATTGAAATAAAAGTACAAAGTGGAAAACCTGAAATGGTTTGTAAAACGTGTGTGGATAGTTTATTTAAGTTTCAGGAATTCCGGTCACAATGTGAGAATTCATATACTACCAATTTTTTAGAAGCATCTGCGGTTCTAATGGAAACTAAAATTAAAGTCGAAAACGAAAATGAAACGTAAGTAATTCAAGTAATCCTTCCATATATCCGTTATATTGAGGTATTATGGAAATGTAATGAAACTGTGATATCCTTGATTGTAGAACCATTATTGCTCTACAATAATTTGTGAATAAATAACTACATTTTAAGCAATAACTAACAGACAAAACATGTAGAAAAGTATAAAAATTTTTCTTTTTAAGAGCAACGTTCGTTGTTATACACGACGAAACTAATTTTGACAATATCATGGCACAACAAGGAGATTATTATAATAACGCTTTCGAAGAGATTGACGTTATGGAAGATAAATTGCAGCCGCAACCACTTTTCAATATTGACATTGTAAAACATGAATCACATATATTGGCAAATGAAAGTGATGCAAATTCTTTGAAATCAGGGGTTCAGGAACCTAAAATCAGTGATATTTGTCTTAATACGCCTGATGATGCTTCGAAAACACAACCGAGAGAAAATAAAGAACAGAATGTTGTAACAACAAAAAAGCATAAAAAACTTTGTAAAATTTGTGGGTCAACGTTTACTCAAACCAGCTCCCTTAAACAACATATGTTGAAACATACTGGCCTTCGACCATTCGTTTGCGAATTTTGCGAGAAAACATTCAACCGCCGTAATTGTTTAATTAACCATCGTCGGCTTCACACTGGATATCGGCCGTACCAGTGCGACGAATGCATTCTAACGTTTACAACGAAAGATAGATTAGTGGTAATATATGTATTAAATAAATTTCAATGCTTATTACTTATGAATGTAAGGCACACATATAACATACATATTTATTTATGTTTTCATTTAAGCGTCATAAAAACATTGACCACATTCAGGATGTTTCCAACAAAAGTGACAAACGCATATTTACATGTTCTATATGCAAAATTACAAAAAGCTCAAAGTTTTTAATTAAGTTACACAAACATCAGGAGCACGCAGAAAATATGAGAAAAAAATGTTCAGTACAAGTTCCATTAACACAAGACGAAGATTCTGTTACTTTAACTAATTCAAAATATTGTGATACATGCCATCAGGTATTTGCAACGGAAGTGGAATTGCTTACACATCAGGAAGGACATTTAATTTCAAAAATTTTCAAATGTAAGGAATGCAAAAAGGCTTTTAGTAGAAAAAGCGATTTACTTTACCATCAACTAAGATCACATAAGAACGCTGAAGACCTTATGAAGAAGACTATGGAATCTAATGAAACCGATAACATGAACAGTGAGGAGGAAGAGAAACCATTAAAAGAACGTATCCAAGAGATGAAGGTTGTGAAGCGTTTACGAAAGAAAAGTAATAAAGCAATGCAAATATTGTCAAGTTTTAAATGTCGTGGACCAAGAGAAAAATCAACGGATGAACATAAGTGTCTAATTTGTAAAAAAGTCTTTACAACTGGACCATCTCTTAAAGTGCATTTACGTACACATACCGGTGATAAGCCTTTTAAATGTGAATTTTGTCCTAAAGCATTTGCTCGCAAAAGTGTACTAAATGTTCATCGCAGAACACACACCGGTGAACGGCCGTATAAATGTGATCATTGTGAAATTGCATTCTCTACTAAATATGCTTTACTCGTGAGTTTGTTCACTTCCAAACAAAAACCAAATAAATGAAATTAAAATATTTAAATTCTAGATACATTTGCAAGAGGCTCATGAAGATAATGGTGATATAGTGTTTCAATCCAAATGTTTTCGCTGTAATAAAGTGTTCCCAGACAACGAGGAATTGCAAAAACATTTACCAGAGCATCAAGATCAAGATCAGGACCAAACATTTAGGTGTTATTCATGCGAAGAAACCTTCTTTAATCTGTCGGATTTTAGAAAACATGTAGAGTCTCATAATTCTCCTAATCAATATCAATGTGGAATCTGTTTAACTTCGTTTAAAGAAAAATTCAAATTGGACTTCCACCTAAAATCGCACACTGTGCATCAACACAGTTGTAAAAAATGTGGAGACACATTCGTTCTCAAGTAAGTAAAACACCGAATATATCAGATTATTATTTTTATGTCTCAAATATTTAAATTAATTTAAGGAATAGTTTAATATTACACATCAAGAATGTGCACATAAATAAGAGAAATTTGGAATTTGCCTGTAGAGCTTGTGATATTATGTGCTATGATGAGCTATGCTTAAAGGATCACTTAAAAACAAAACATAAGGAAATGCAGTGCTTATATAGATGTGAAAGTTGTCGACAAAATTTAGGGACTCCAATGCGCTACTCTAAGCACATTTATGAAAAACATGATCAAATAAGTAAAATCTGCTATGAAGAAAATTGTGGAAAGGAATTCTATTCCCAGAAAGCTTTTGATATACATATTTTAAAACATTTTATAAACTAATTTAATATATATAAAAACATAATTTATAATATTTATATATAGAGAAAATTCTTCCAAAGGGTATCTCTATTAAATGGATAATGCTGTAGAACGGAGACCCTAGATAACGGATATCCTTTTCAATAGACATTTTTTCAAATATAAGGTTTTTGATCATTAAGAACAAGTTAACTACCTTCGGTCAGATGTCAGTGTATATACTTTTAAATAACTGTATAATTTCAATGTTTACTTTTTTATTAATAGATTTATAAGTTAGCTAATAATATTATAAAATACAAGACCTTTATTTATGTTATTTTTAAATATTTATTATAATTTAAAATTAATGTGTTTTTAAAGTCACAATGTTAATAAGTTTTCTTTTATTATTTTTATAATGAACACTTCTACATTCTATTTTATGTATTTTACTTATACATGATACTTTACCTTGGCGACAAGTAGCGCTTAATTATATAATTTGCTATAAAAAATTTCGATATTGTTTTCTATTATACAAGTATATTGTTATTAAAAATGTATGTAAGAATAGAGAGATAATAATTTTTTTTTTACCAAAACAGTTTATTTTATAGTAAAAAACATTGTAATTAAAATTAATTACTAAGACGTAAACTAGTACTTTTAAGTAGAAAATATAAATACTGATTTTATATTATTGTGTCATTGTCTACGATAGTTCAATTTATTTAAGATAAAACCATTTTGCCCGTTAAATAAATATTAAGTGTGCGAAATTGTTGAAAATTCTTCTTGGCATTTCGCTTTATTATATAAATTTGTTTTTTAAAGTTCGCACTACTTTATTTTTTCATAGGTAAGCCGTCAGTTGGGTTCAGCAGAGCTTCTTCTTTTCCAAGTTTCTTAGCTCCATCGCCAACTTTTGTGTGTATGATGTACTTAAGGAGATTTTTACGATTGGTTGTAAAAACCGCATTTCCATTTAGAATATTGTGCTAAATTAAGAAATATAATTTAGTATATATAAGACTTAAAAAAGAAAAAGTTTTTATTGACCTCAGTTTTACTATATTCAACCGGTATACCTTTAAGATATTCTACATTGTTGGCGGCATCATTTGGAAAACTAATCTGAATGGCTGAAAGCACTTGTGAAACGTTTTCTTCTAGTACATATAAGCAAGCGTTTGGACCGGCATCAAATGTGTAGGCGACCACAGTGCTACCTAAAATTTTGTTGAATAAGTGTACAAATTCCACTATAGCATGAGAAACATCATTCATATAGACACATGGTGGGAAAGTGTCTAAAGCAATAGCATGGAATTGATTTGAATCTTTCATTGTAAGTTCTGCAAAACTACAGAAGTCTTGATTTTTAATTGCACTTGTAATTGCTTTAATCCGTTCAGGTACACAATGTTTGGCACGGTGTGCTATTAAGTCGCTAGTTTCAAGAGCACGTTTCATGCCTTTAGTCGAACTCGTTTTCTTTTTTGCATCATTTACAACTAATATAAGTACATGCATATTGGGCCAATGTGATTGTGGTGCAACTGGTACTGCCAGAGAATCAGTACCATCAGCTTTAGTTCCCATATTCCATCTTACAAAACCACCTAAGTAGAAATTCGTTTTATAATTCATTTTTCGAATTTGTTTTTACGTTTGTTGACGACTAACCATACAAACTTCTGCAAGCAGATCCACTACCTTGGCGTGCAATAGATGTAAGCTCTTCATTTTCAACACCATACAGACATGCTAAAGTATATACTAGACAGGCATACCCAGCTGCACTAGATGCCAGACCAGCTGCTGTTGGAAAATTATTACGAGAAACAACATGTAGTTTCCAATCAATTGGAAATTTTAAGTCAGACCTAGCAATAGCCAAACGTTGTACTAGGAGTTAAGTTGTTAGTATTTAAATTAACCATGTAATGAATATGCATTACTTTCTTTTAAACAGCGCAGTACTCTTGGATTGTCGTCAAAAGATACATCTTCGTCATTCAACCACATCCTATTCTGTTTAAAATTAGGCGATGCCGCTGCTGTTGTTTTGGCACACATCTGAAAAATTTAAATAAAAATAAAGTACGTTCAAGCGTTAACAGCAGCTTACTGTATAGCAAAGTGAATAATATTAACCTCTTTGGTACTTAAGGTCATACTCAGTGAATCGTTAATAGGCAATATTAGCTCTTCATCACGTTTTCCCCCTGTTAACAATGCATTTTAAATATATCACGACAAATGGAGAAAGTTATGATTTTAAAATTGCTTACAGTATTTAATTAGTGCCATATTCACAGGCGCAATACATGTTTCTATAAACATTTTATCAGTTTGATAAATTATATGCTTAAAAAAATTAAATATTTATTTAAAATCAAAGCAAGTAAGCAAAAAACAAACGCACAACTAAAGCACATCCAACTTAACTGAGACTTTCTCTATTAATAAACAAAACTTTTGTAAACATACTGTATGTAGATTACTACAATAATATGAATGCTGCCAGATTCCATATATTTTCTATGCAGTGTTGGTAAATGTAGAAACAGTTATGTACGGTATTCTTTTTAAATTTTGTAGTCAGTGTGAATAGGTTTGAGTCAGGGATAATTGAGTTATGTATGGAATGATGTTAGGTAGAAAAACAAAAAAATACAAATTAAAATAAAAATAATTAATACTCAATTCAACTTCGAAACCTTTAGTGAATTCAAACTCCAATCATAAAAATAATTATTTAAATTAAATATTAACTATGTAATATGTGTTTAGTATATATTGATAATATTTTATTATCGTATATAATAGTGCCGAGTATAATATATAACACTGTTTGATTATACATATTTAATAGGGATTAAAGAGCGTTAGCTCGTATCAATAGAATTAAAATAAAAAATTTAAAAGCAGTAGATAGTATTTCAATTATTAAAATATTTAGGCTGCAGCCTGCACGGATTGCTTCTGAGATGAACTTATTTTATCACCTAAACTAAGTGCCATTCCCTGTAAGAGACTTTTTTTTATAAAAACTCAAAATATAATAAATATGAACGTACTTGACTTTTTGCGCGAATACGAATATGTCCAGTTACTTTCGAATCGGGATTGTCAACTGGTTTTTCAATACTTAAATTAGCGAGTGCATTCTCTCCGAAAATCGATCTAAAACATGAAATTATATAATTGCATATATGAGAATATACAGATACATACTTTGCGTACATATTGGCAGCCATAAATCCACATTGTCCGGACAAAGCCTTCTCTGGTGTCAAACATTTCATGTTTGTGCTCTTTAGCAAATGTTTTAAGTACTCATGCAAATCCGTAAAGGTTGTATTGACAGTTACCTTAAAATAAAATACATCATAAATTCCAAATTTTCTGTTACGATTTAAAAATATAATTAAATAAATACTTTATTTTCCCATTCGAAGTCTTGCCACATTTGCCTGAATTCGGTGTCAGTGCAACTAGCAGGTATAATGTAATCCATTATGTCAATGTGTATGGTGTTTAGAACGACCACATTTGTTTTAGTTGAAGTATCATAAACTGTACAATAAATATATATATATTGTTTTAAATTACAAAATATACATTTTGTTTCAAATTGTTTGAATTCTCCTGCTTAGAGAAGAGAATTTAAATAAATCTTAAAATGCTTACCGATGTTACCAAATATTATTCCGTTTTCCGTAGAAGAAACTTTGACATTCGCTTTAATATTACAGAAATCGTGTGGTGCTAGAACGACTGGATGTGGACGTTCCACTAATTTTAAGTCGCCTAAAGTAGCTAACTCAAGTGTACAATTTTGTAATGTATCGTCTATGTAAGAAATGTGAATTAAGTTATTCTTTCAAAATGACTTTCATTTATTCGCTTACTTGTTTGGTTAACAATGAGGACATCTAACACAATGTCATATTGATTGACATTAACATACGCTTCAGCATATACTGGATCAGAGAATCCAGTTAATTGAGTGACTTTATTTAGTTTGTTATTTGGAGATGTAACATCGCTTAGGTTGGTATGCTTTGTGCCAGCAAGTGCTTGATTTAGACTTGATTCAAATACATTTTCACCCAAAAGGCTATCGCGACCATTGGAAAGCTGATTGAATGTAACTGGATCATCTGGTTGGACTTTAGCGGTTGATTTTTGTTTTTCCTTTAAAACACGTTCGTCTTCTTCGTGCTGCGCATCTAACATCTTACCTAAAGCATCGCGGCAATAATGTTTAAAAACTTCTACAGCTTCTAATGTGCCCTCGCTTAAAGTCCGTAGACAAATAAAGATACGATCAATGTCATCGTTGGTTATAATTTTGGAAGCAAAACCAGATTTTCCTAAATGCAATATGGAGCTCATAATGAGCATTACTTGTGTAGTTAAACGATTCTGTTTGTGCTGCGTATTTAAAGCAAATATTTGTTCATTTAATATCAATAGATTAATAGCGTTTAAATTCAAACATTACCAAATCATTTTCTAAGTCTGCATAGCGTAAAGCTAGTTTTGTAAGTGTGGCAGATAATGCGGCACCAATAAAGAAGTCACCATCCATCATGTATTGCCGTAGTGGTGGACGTTTTTCTTTCTTAGTTACTCTATAAGTTACTTATTAATTATTCGGTAAGATTTAATTTTGTTTTTTATTGCTTACGGGGCCAAACTGAAAGCACTTTGTGTGGCATATGTACCATCTGAAGTAACCTTGTTAGTACTCGGAGAAGTGGTTGAATTAGCAGCAATCTGCTCTGATTCTTCTTGTGTTTCACCTGTTAGGCGGCGCTGTTCTGCTTCTACCATGGGTATTTCGCCAAGAGTTTGAAGAATAACATCAATTACCTCTTGTATTTGATCACATGAATCTACGTATTCACCTAAAATCCAAACTGCAGCCCGATGTATTTTAGACGACTTTATTTGTAGAAACGATTCAAGCAAACGTTCTATTATTAATTTTCGTAACTGTGGGAATTTCTGTATAGCTTCTCGTATAAAGATCAATACATCTGCAGCAGCTAATTCATTTGTATCTGACAAAAATTCAACCAACACTGGGATTACATTGCCAGCTACATCAGGAAATTTAATCGAACAAGAATGCAAGGTACGAACAAGCAATTGCCGGTATTTTCCAGTATCCTCATGTTCAATATTATGTGTTTTAGAAACTTCTTTTTTCAGTACTAATACCATTTCTCCAATATTACGGGATGAAACTAAATCCATTGCCAAGGCCAATGTCTTGCGTCGTACTTCAATATCAGGCGAAGCTAAGACTCTTAGTATATCCATAACAAGATCCTGCATAACTTTTTCCATATTTTCATTTTCTTTCATTGCAATTAGTCGATCCAAAACGATAAGCTTGACATTATTGTCGCTTTCCTTAACAATAAGCTCAATGTAGCAGCCTGCAGCAGCTTTGATGGCAGTTGGTGCTGAAGATAACGTTATAAGCGTTCCAGCTGCCTCATATCTGACTGCATTTGATGAAGAATTTAGTAAGTTATAAATACAGCGTATGAATCGCGACCGTTCAGTAGGATTTGCATGGCATACTTTGTATATGAGTTCCACAATAACTAATTGTAAGATGTCACCAAAGTTATTTACTTGGTCAATGCATGAAGCGAGATAATTAAGAGCTCTTTCTTGATCAGCATGCAACAACATTAGGAAAGCATTTCGTTTACACGATAAATCCTGTTGTGTATCTAGAAAGTTAGCTATCAATTCTGGTCCATCAGGCACAAGCCAATCAAAGTTTTTATATATTGTAAAAATTGCTAATACTGCGTTTCGACGCACATACGAATGGCGATGCTCTAAACAAGCGCGAATAGCAGGCATAAGTGGCTCCAATAATTCCGGCTCTTTCAACTTGCACAAAAACCGAAGTGTAGATCCACGTAGAAATTCATTTGGATGTTGCAAGTCCTAGTAAATTTTATGATTATATGTATAATTTCAATAGGTTAGTCGTAAAAAATATATACCTTTCTATATGCATCACACACTAAAATCATTTCCTGCAGCAACTTACCATCGGCTGACGTTTTTGGAACAATTTCCCAGAATATTAGTAACAACTTTTTGATTGTGTGATTCTGAACTGGTAGAACAAATCGTATTATTGTCATAATGAGACCGGATAAACGTTCCCCATTTAACAACAACTGAATAACTTTCTTTAATGTTTCAATTTTGACATTTGTATCGCCTTTTTCCAAATCTTGCTTCAATTGCATTTCATTAGGCACTTCAATATCGGGGGAATTAATTATGGTATAACAAGGTACCTCAGCGAGTGCCATGGTATTAATTTTTAGCTTTATTTTTATATGCAAAAAAGTATTATTATTTAATATAATTAGTGTAATAATTTTTTGTGGTATAATACACTATAAATGAAGAGACAAACTCGCTTCAGCCGATTGACGTGTCAACGATTGACGTGACAAAAAAAGCAAAATAAGCGTTGACACAATTTGCAAATTTTGTATCATAGATTAAGACGTAACATAAGTGATTTTTTTTATAAGTTTACCGATTCATTAATCAGTAACAAGCTTATTAAACAATTTCTGTTTTTAGAAAACTTTCATTTACCACGTACTCCAAAATACAATTTCATTGCAGTTCGACATACTCTACTAAACCTCATGTTAGTGTTGTAAGTTGTTAAGTTTTAAAGGTGAGAGTTACATTCTTATACCTTTTGTATAAAAATATCATTTGTTTTAATTATATTGTATAGAGAAATACATTCTTTTGTGGCGATGTAAGTAGGCAATGAGTTTATTGAAATTGAAATGTAAAATTCAATTTCAGAAATGTTCAGTTTTTAATTTTGGTGAAAGAGACCGTTCAGACCGAATCGAAGACCTTTTTCACAACCACGCTGACCGCTACCGTGAACTGCCTATTGTGGAACCCGACGCAGACATCAGTTTGGAAGATTGCCAGGGCATACAGTAGTTGTCTTGTCCCTAAAACCGAATTGAAAGCAAGCGATTATCCGATTTGCAGAACTAAAAGAGATCAGTTTGCTAGCTATGAAGGTTATATAGAGCTTACTGACTGAGCTGAGGAGGGAACTCTATTATGCTTTTGCACAGACAGCAAGCATAAAAATCGGTTCTCAGGTGCATAATGTACTGAGAGAGATATTATGCATTTCAGGGTTAACTTAATTTGACTACGCGTTTCGACTTAAGGTATTGTAGAAAAAATATATATATTTAATATATATAAGTTAGTCTTAACATGCATTTAATAAAGAAAACATCTAAGCTAAGCTTTGTGTTTTATTCAACTAACATTTCTTGCGCGAATCTATTAAATTTCTCAAAAGCTGTAACTTTCAACAATATCTAATTATAAAACTCTATGAAATTAATTTGATCATTTATATGTAAATTATTTATTTACATCAATAATTTGTCTTATCTCATTTAGGCACTCGCTCATTTATATTAGTGAGTGAACGTTCTCATTACAATGATCTAATTTCATGCATTATTTGAAATGTATAAACTTCATTTCATAATATATTACACAAAAATACTAAATATTTTTGCGGATGGATAATTGATACATTTGTGGCGAATCCACCACACACAGACTCCAGCGCCATCTAGTGTCAAAACATTTCAGTTGGCATGACAACCAACTTCAGCATCAAGAAGAGAAGAAGAAAATGGCATTGTGCCTTTTTGTAGTCAAGCAGTTTGTTTCAACGACGCGCCACTCGTTAACAACCACCGTTTGTAAAGAACCAAAAACACATTTATTTTAATTCATTTTTCATTATCGTGTAAATAATTAATATTAAGTTTGTAAATAATTCATTAGCAGTAAGAAATAAACATTGTGTGGCAAACTAGCCACATATTAAATCATTTATATATATTTTACATGTCAATTACATATTCATTTAATAAAACCAAAAATTTTATTAAGTACATTTCATTTAAGTAAAAATTGGTAGTTTTAATAATTAGTTTAAACGTTATCCGAACTTAATAAAAAATATATAACATATAACATAACACTTGACTGCGAGTCCCTTACTAAATTGAAAATGGTAGTGAATTGCAATACTAGATACGTCTACAGCCTTAAACGGTTTGATCATCTAATACTTTATAGGAATGCTTTTCTGGGTTGTGATATTGAGCAGTATTTAAATATTCGAATCTGTTTATTTCTGTTTAAATTGAAAACTACATTTAAAAAACTACATGTATTACATTTACAATGCCAATAAAAGTAAAAAAATTAGATTTTGAAATTTCTTTTATAATATACAGTAGGCCTTTTCGGTGGCAACACAAAACAACAACATTATTTTCTCTACCTCGGTCAGTATAGGTATACTAGCCATACACATCAGCCATTAAGAAAAAATGTGCTACCAACGCAAATTACATTGTGTATAAAAATAAAAAAATTAACATAAAATGAAAATTAAATTGGATACAAAATTAAAAGGAATGGTAAAGTTGTTGAAAATATCAAAATAAAACATTAAAATTTTTTTTTCCAATTTTTTAATTTTGTAATTTTGCTACCAACGCAAATTACATTGTGTATAAAAATAAAAAAATTAACATAAAATGAAAACACTTTCTTTTTATTGACCGATGTGCTTGGCCAGTATACCTATACTAACACTTTTAAGAGTTTTTATATGAGCTTAAAATGTATTTAAAGAACTTCAAAACAACTTTTAAGACTTGTAGAAGGTAAAAAATCGTAAAACTATGTTAATATAGTCAGTATATGAGTACAGTTTCGCTTTATTGCTATCCGTAGACTTATGTCAGCTACTATGAAAATGTAAAATTCAACAAAGAAAACTTGAAGAAACAGCTGATTTATTTTGGCTTCGTTTATTTATTTGTTTTGTTTTGTGTATAAAGTTATAAAATAAACTATAGAAAATGATGTAAAAAGAAGGTACTAATAACGACACGAAGCATACAGCTGAGAAGATTAAACTATATAACTTTTTTAAGAACCAATGAAATCACTGCGTTATGAAAAAATGAACGGACGTTCCATACGCATACATCGTATTCCTGCAGCTATTGTTGCCATTTTAGTGATATGTTTATTAATATATTTATGTAATACCGATGAAGAACAGCAGCCGGCAATGTATGGTATGCTACGCAACCAAAATAAGGTAAACATGAGGAAATTATTAATTGGTTCAATACAAGCGGCGCAGCGTGGAGGTCTAGAGATTTTAAGTGTGGCTCGCACTCGCAATTTGAAGGAACGTAGTAAAGGCAAAACGGACGAAGGAGTGAGTATAATTTTATACAATGTTTATTTTTATGTTTATTTTATAAACATTTTTAATATTTTACAAAAGGCTAATGATCCCTTTACTGATGCAGACGCTCGTTCACATTGCGTAATGAAGCATGGTTTACAACGTATATTCCCTAGAATTCAAATATTTTCTGAAGAAGACAAGGAGCAATGTAACGAAGCCAATACTTTCGACTTAGATCCTACAGTTTTACATGAAACAGCAAAAATCCCTGATGAATTAATTAATATAAGTGACGTAACTGTGTGGATTGATCCTTTGGACGCAACTCAAGAATTCACAGGTATTTGTTAATAAACAAGTATAGCGTCAATATCATTAACATTTTTCAATTTCAACTTTAGAACAATTGTATGAATATGTCACTACAATGGTGTGCGTAGCTGTGCGTGGCAAACCTGTTATAGGAGTAATACATAGTCCGTTTATAGGACAAACGGCTTGGGCTTGGATAGACCGTTCAATGTCAGAGTATCTGGCAACAATTATAGCAGGTGAACATGACACATCAAATCCAATTATAACTGTTTCACGATCACATGCTGGAGATGTAAAAGATTTGGTTCGTGCCGTTTTTGGTGAAAAATCAAATATTCTGACAGCTGCCGGTGCAGGTTATAAAGTGTTACAAGTTGCATCGAATAATGCGACAGCATATCTACATTCCACCAAAATAAAAAAATGGGATATATGTGCAGGGGATGCTATACTGCGAGCTCTTGGCGGTACCATGACGACTTTAGATAATAAGCTGATTGATTATGGGCGAGGCGAAAGTCCTGTGAACGCTCGAGGCTTACTAGCAACAGTTGTGCAGCATGATCAATACATTGAGAAACTAATGACCTATCGAGAAAATCAAAAAACGAAACAAAGATAGCTAAAATCTATTAATAATAATACATAATTGAGTTTGGTTTTAATTTAAAAGAATCTCGCTCATAAAACCAAAAGTATACATATGTTCTTACATCTTTCACTTTGTTTTAATTTGTTCATTTTATTTTGTGTATTCTGTTTGAAGCATAGGTTGGTATGTAAAACCTGTTTCATCAAAGTTTGGCACGCATATGTTATCATCTTTTTAAATTTGGGGTTAATAAACTTTATTAAATATTTGACAAAAAGTATACAAATGTTTACCTTAAAAAAAATATAATTTATTGCTTTAGAGTTTACTTTACTTTACTTCAATTATCTAATACTAATGATTAGATGGCATTACGTATAGATTTAAACGCTTTAATAAACCTTAAAATCGGAATTTGTTATATCATATTTCGTTAAACGTATGTATTTGCTTAACAATTTCAATGTGTAGGTTAATATTGATGAGTTATGTCGTTTTTAGTTCGTAACGAATTCGGAACGATAAATATTTTGCAATAATAATCAAAGCAATATTGATACTCTTAGGACTGATTTCACAGTCAAAACCTAAGTATCCATACTGACTTAAGTCAGACTAAGCCATCAATTTTGTTGATTTGATTTATACTTAATTCAGTTTTGAGATTTAAGTCAGGACTGTGAAATCAGTTCTTAGTGTTTAAGAAGTTATGGTTCGTGTGCTTACTGGTCTGTAAATAGAAATACGGTTCCAAATTTTTAAATTTTAAAAATATCCCTTTTTAGAGTTAATAGCATTAAAAATTAAGCTTATTGGTGTCCTTAGGTATAAAAATATGATTAAAAATGTGTATTTGGTTAATTATATCTTTTGGTACATACTCGTTTTTAACGGTTAAGGTGAATGAAAACATTTTCCACTATTAATGTTTATGGAATATCTTTTATCTATTTCTTTTCATCTTTTTTCTTTTAAGCGCCCTTTACCTAAGAACTGCATAGATTAATAAGAAATATTCAAAAGTGATACCTATAACTCTATATTGTTATCTTTGACTTCTTTTCCAGTACTATTGGTTATCAATGTGGTGATATAAATTTTTTACTTTAAGAATTTAATATGTAAAGTCAAAGTAGCTTTTATATTACGTATATATTATATATATATATATATATATATATATTGTATATTACGATTTTGCAACGTATATAAAATTTTTTTGATATTTTGCATTAATTTCGTTAGTACAAATATATACAATATATGAATTAGAGAGATAGATTTAGATTTAGCTAAAGAATTTGCTAAATTCTTGATATATACAAATATATATATACAAATATATATATATATATATATATATATATATAAGATATAATGTGTTAATAGGGTGCAACACATGATTGAGCAACATATCTTATAGCACATTCACAGTGTCTCATTTAAGCGGTTTTGCTCAGTATAGCCACTAATGAGGATGATTTACCATATAAAAATCTTTCATATAAATGAGTTCATTATCAATAAATCAGCTCATTTAAGGCGAAAAATGTCGAATGCAACTCTTAAAAACACATTTCCCAAAATGGAAATTACTAAAATTTAAAATATGTGTCATACGTCTTATATGTAAAATGTAAACAAATAAGAACTGAGCTGTAAACAAAGGTACTGAGGAAGTAAATATTTAATAAAATCTTTGTTTTTATTAATTGAATATGTAAGTGATATATAAAATGTATATAAAAGATTAATATGTCAATTATATATTTAATTTTTTGTGTGATATATTAGCTGCGTTTCAGCAAACATGATCCGCTCAATTTTACATGCAAAACAAAAACAATGGGGTGAACCAGCAATTGATCTGGTTCACTTTCTGGTTCAATGTGGAATGTATGTAAAAGATAAAAGTGGAACGCATTTTAATGCAAATGAGGTTGGCAATGCGATGCAACGGTGCAGTAAAATTATAAACAAATCTACATTTATATTTATTTATTATTGATTTTATTTATTTATTATTTATTTTATGTACTTATTTATTTAATATGTCATTATTATTTATTTCTTTGTTTAAAGTAATGCTTTAACTATAACTATAACAAAAATTATTACTTTATTTATTTACGTTTTATTATTATTGAAAAAGTGTTTGATAATTTATTAAAATCAATTAATTTGAAATGAATGTATATAAATTAAGTTGAATATATTTATTTAATTAAAACAGAACAATACATAAGGAACCAGGCTCTCCAACATACACGTTTATAAAAAATCCATTTTCATCACAAACTGCCTGCAAGATTAAGCCAGTCATGCTTCCTTTTGAAATAATCCTATTTGCTATGGTTTGGTGCATTTATTTTTACATGTATACGGTCTATGCAACTAATACGAACGGGAATTTGTTCGAAACTTCCACTTTTGCATTATTAGCAAGTGCGTATTTTATAAATTAGTGTCCAATTGATATACGCTAAACACTAATTCTTTTAATTATTCTCCATACAGAAGCTCTTGGTATGCCAAAACAAATATCAAATTCGGAAAAAGTATTCATATTTGCCATATACTACAAAAATATATAAAATTCATTCATTACTCTCGTCCGATTGTGATCATCACGGTTATTTTGCACTCGCTGATTGGAATTTATTAACAAATCTATTAAAATATGAAACATAATTAATATATAGCAATTGTATATTTTATGCGCAAATATCAATCAAATAGTCTTTAACGGAACAATTATTGATCATTTCCACAAAATTTCCACTATATCCATGCTGATGCACTTCATCCCCTGAGCTTAATAAACTTGGACTAGTGTTTAAAAAGAAAATAGAGGAGTCAGTTTTGCTTGATAATTCTAATAAAACCTGCAATTTTCATTTATTTACTATAGAATTAAATTTAAGTTTTTAAGTAAATACTAAATAAAAACTTACATTTAATACTTCAGACATTTCAACAAATTTTATTTTTTTTCTATTTTTTAGATTTTTTGTATTCAAAATTTTCTCACATATTTTTTTAGTGCCAAAATTAATCACACAAATCAAAAATTTTGTACACAAACCCAACTGGCATAATTCATGCGTTGCCAATTATTTTCAAACGTGATCCGTATCGTTTCAGCAAAGATGTTCCAGATCATTGAGCGGATCATGTTTGCTGAAACGCAGCTATTATTAAGTGAAGTTTATAAAAGTTCTATTAGGGCCATGTTATGTAAAGTGTCTCGGGCACGGAGTACAATTGTTGTTGTTTTCAATGCATATTTTAAATTTGAGCAAGTGAGAGAAAACAATATGGCCGTTCAAACTCCGGCATGAGAGCCGGCGTATTTGTGCCCCGGCACTAAAGCAAAACAGTGTTGTTTAGTAATAAATTTTAAAATTTGCGCCTTTTAGGAGCAAACTACTACAATTCTAGTACGTTTTGGAGAAAAAATGGCAGTATGGCAACACAGTATTTTTTTTATAAATCGCTAATAATATAATTATTACTCTTTCCGATTTTAAAGAAACGCGTAAGTACTGTTAACAATTATTATAAGATAATACAATAATAAATTAACATTATTACAGCCTCTATGTATTTTTTCATGCGAGTTATTTTTGGTGGCAAATTGAAAGTGAGCATACCTAAATTTCCTTTTAAATTTAGGCACAACCAAGAAGTAGTAAAAATACAAAATTGGCAATACTGATGTGACACTCTGCATAACATGCATTTTTGGCATAGCCTGAAAGAGCGTAATTTGCCGTGCCCGAGACACTCTGCATAACATGGCCCTTAGGTTCATAAATGAGCTCATTATAATGTGAGCGTTCACTTATTAATATAAATGACCAAATACCTAAATAAGACAGTGTGAATGTATTATTATCGTGATATAGTAATTTTATAATCAATACATATTAAGTACACAAAAAACTATGTAAACGAAAATTCTATATACAACACCTTATCTGTCTAAAGAGAGAATCTTAATGCAGTGTGTATCAGCTGATTTTTGCATCCTTCAAAAAAAATTTCCAAATTAGGATTATTTACATTTATAAAGTTTGTCATGTCTCGTTGTTGCAAGAATCATTTTATTGAAGTTTTAAATATTAGTGACGGCGAAACTATAAGGCATTCAATATTATTGATCAAAGGTCGCGTCGCAAACTATTGTTTCAAAGAATCTGAGATATTTTTGCATTTGGAAAAATTTCCAAATTAGGATTATTTACATTTATAAAGTTTGTCATGTCTCGTTGTTGCAAGAATCATTTTATTGAAGTTTTAAATATTAGTGACGGCGAAACTATAAGGCATTCAATATTATTGATCAAAGGTCGCGTCGCAAACTATTGTTTCAAAGAATCTGAGATATTTTTGCATTTGGAAGAGAGGATTCTTAAAACGTGCATTTCGCGTGCTGGTGAATATAAATTTTTACTAGATTTGCAATCCTACGAAGCGAGTAATGTGGTAAAAATTCTAAAACTAAAATTTAACTTTTGCAGCGCTGAGCGTGAACTTAATGTTTTATTTAAAATTAATGAAAATTGTTACAAAATTCAGCCCATTTACGTTGTGTGTAGTGACGAAGAACAGCTAGTTAAAGATATTGACACTCAGAGTGCATTACAGATAATTGATCTAAACTTGCGCTTAGTGCAGTGTATTTATGCTGATAAATTGCGTGCTGCTGGATTCGCTAGAGATACGTTTAATCTAAATGGTTCCTGTCACCTGTTCTATACTTCACTTAAATGCGAACAAGCCTGGGAGCTTAGTGAGACAGAAATTTGGCAAGTTATTGCAGAAGAGATACTAACTTCCCAATGGGCAGCTAATACATATCTGAAATTTGTAGCATTTATTGCATGCACAAAGTATGATAGCGCGGCTGTGGTGGCGAGTGGTGATTTCAGTTATGCGAATATAAGAAAACATTTGAAAGCGCATGCAGCTTTGGGAGGCGGTGGTCTTGCCTTATTTGGAACCGCTTATTTCTATGCTTGGCCAAAAACTTTTGGAAATATAATTAATTGTTTCTATAATCAAAAACCCATTGACTTGGCCTTGCTTCCAGACGATAGTAACTATCGGCGAACTTATGGAGGTGTTTATGCTACCACTTTGGGCGCTATTTGTCACGAACTGGGGCACATATTTGATTTAGGACACACTATTGAAGGTGTGATGGGTAATGGATTTGACTATGTTAATCGTTTGTTCACAATAGACAATAAAACTGAAAATTTGCCAAATAGAATTATTGTTGAAGGAGAAACAACTAAAATAAAAACTATTCAACCACGATTAACTCAAGTTAAACGACAGTCAAATAGCTTTTTGGAAAAATATCATGAACAAAAATTAAATGATGCATTTTACTTTACGCGAAGTTGTGCTTTGATACTATCGAAGCATAAATGGATATACAGTTCCAGGGTGGAGGAGAAGGCTGAAATCTTTTTAAATTTGAATGGATATTGCATTATAATTGAAAGTAGCAAAATTCCCTTCAAAATCATTGAGGTGCGTCGTAAGGAAAACAGTCTAGTGGAAAACTTTTATGAATTTGATGATTCTTTACCTGTATATTATTTTGAAGTTCCAAGAGAAGTAACTCAGAACGTAAAATCAAAGTCGCACTATTTATTTGTGATGGTCATAAATGGCCAGAACATTTGTTGTGGAAGAGATTAAATATGCTAAATTATTTTGGTGTATCTAAGAATCTATAATCTGCAAATTAGAATTTGTAATTTTATTTTAAGTAGGAACACACTAGGATTTCTATGTACTACATGGTGATTAATAAACTATACAACAAACCGCAGTACAAAAAACTCTTCATTGAGTTCGCGTTAAAATGAAATAAAAATAATTGATACTTGCATGCTTTCAGAAGCCACAAAAACGTACAGAGAAAAGCGAACATCTTCACAAATCACGTGTGGTTATGATGAAACGTTCGTGGCTTTTGATTGAGAGTCGTTCGAATGAGTCGATCAGTAGCAGACAGAAGTGAGTCAAGAATTCGGTTTGTCGCAGTTATTCGCAACACTCAATTTGATACGTCATCAATGCTTGATTAAATGTAAACATTCCAGTTTGTCTTTGGTGATTACCGAAAGTGAAAATTTATCAATTGAATGATAACTGAAACAGGCGAACACACGCACTACTGATAAGATAATTATGTATTTAAAGCTGAATCGATGGCAAATAGAATTTGTTTTTATTAAATGAACTTAGTGCTAAATCAGAGTTCATAGTTACAAAGCTGAAGCGGAACGTGTCAAAACGTTTATTTATTAATATTAAAAATATTATCGAAGTACACAAATAAATTTTGAGCTAAACTAAAAAGAAATGGAACAACCAAGAATTCAATTCAAAAAACTGAAAGGTTTCCCAAAAGTAGATGAGGAAAAAGTACAAACCGTTGCCTTTCTGGAAGCAGCCACAGAAATCGTATCAGTCCTTGGTGAGTCACTATAACTAGTTTATATTTTTGCATTAATCTTTTTTCAATTATAATATTTATTAAAATAAAATCAAGTTCAAATCGTTCGAGTCATTATAAATTTGTTAACAAATACTAATACATTTTTTAATACTTTGTTTTCATAGCAAAATATCATACACACATAGATAGCTTAATAGGTAAATAGGAAACATGTTTATGACAATTGATGAGGTAAAGATATTAACATATACGAGTATAACGGTATGAGTTAATACACTGTCAAATAAATTTCATATATATATAAAATATCTACAGATAGTATAGTAAAATTTAGTAAATTAATAAATATCTATTATTTCCATTTTTTTAGATTAAATTCTTTTTATTGTTTTCGGATTTATTTTAATACGAATCGAATTCCATATTACTATTTTCGATCTATCTACTATTTACGTACTATTAATTAGATAAATATTGTTTGGAGTACTCTCAAATAATATAATCTCATTTTAAATTTCGGTTAAAAAGAAAGATTTAATAAGAAATTTCTTTCTATTATTCATTCCTAGTGTATTGCGAGGAGTGAGCAATATTTGATCATATAAAAAGATGAATGACTGGGGAAGTAAAACCTATCGTTATATTACAGAAATATTAGAAGACAGAGTGGTACACTGCTATCAATTAGATCTCTAAAAATATAAACATTAGTTTAATTATAATTTGTTTAGTAATTTTGTAAATTTTGTTATTTTTTTTGGTTCTCTGTAGTACTTACTTTTTTATTATTATTTTTATTAAAATAGAGTACTACAAAAATTATATCCGCCACTTGAATATTGGAAGTTTTAATAGTTTTTTTTTAATTGATTAATGTTACTCATTTAGCCATATGGGTCATCATGTAAATGTAGACTTTAAGACTCGTTAAATTATTAATCATTATTTGAAAATTTTTGGCAATATTCGACGACAATAAATTTTATCTTTGATGACTAATTTTCATTGTTTTTATGAAACTATCTAACTAGCAAGTAAACATAATATAGACGACCAGATTTTTTTGATTGTAATTTATTTATTTATTTATTTATATTTATTTATTTATTTATTTATTGTTAACAAAATAATTTTTGTTTTGATTAAGATTAAATATTTAATGCTAACAAATTCTTTCAATTATTGTAAATTGTAAATATTTAATTAAGAAAAATTAATTTCTATTTGTGACCAAAAAATCATTTGCCCTATATCGCATATTTAGGTTAGGCTATAATGTTGATCATAAGAATTCGACTATGTCTATGACACTTCATGTTATCGTACAAAAGTCGAAAGGTAAAAAACCATTTGTAATCTTTAATAAAGCTTACGATACTCTATAAGGAGACTTAGCTGACTAAGATCGTTTAAAAAGTTATGAACCTACTCGGTTCAAACATCGATGCGCAATTTTTAATGCAGGTAGTGATAGTGCATAACTTTCTATTACTGTTCTTCGTATTCGGTGTTATGAAATTATAGAAGAATCCGATTCATCGAATTTCAACGAAGCATCCGGAGACTTCGTGACCAAAAGTTAATTTCGAATATGGGTAATTACGATAATGAATGGGATTCAAATATATAAAATGGACGCTTTCAGTACTGTTATGTGTTAAAGCATATATGATCTTTAATTAGTAAAAATTTATTTTATAATCCTTTCTGTTATATATTCGTAAATTACTGATTACTTTATTTTATCATATTTTTTGAACTGATTATAATTTCTCTCAAAGCCAATAAGAGTTATTTTCATTATTTTTATTAACAATTTGGCTATTAGGTAAAATCAAAAACTAATTAATTTATTATTGTAGAAACATTTGGAAAGCTTTTTTCACCTGTGATTAGTGATATGAATGGAAATATATTGGTAAATACATCAAATTATTTTCTGTAATATAAATTAAATAGTTCTGTCACTTTAAGAAACTAAAAAAATCTTTTGAAAAGGATGAAATTAAATATGAATACTTGGAGGACATGATTACATTAAACGTGAACGTGGATAACTTTGCTGCAAATGCTTTGCTGTGGTTAAAACGGGGATTACAATTAATTTGCAAATTCTTTGAAAATATTTTTCATGACAAACAGAACACAGAAAGTTTAAAACATCATTTACAGAATGCCTACGAAAATACACTAAAACCTTATCATGGTTTCTTGGTGCAGAGCACTGTCAAGGTTCTATTTAAGTCAATAGTCACCCTTACTTATGTTAAAGTTCTTTTTATTTTTAGATAATTTATAGTTGGGTCCCCTCGAGAACTCAGCTTATTGGAAATGGTGCTGCCCATGACGAAAATTTGGAAGTATTAGAAATTTTTTTACCAATTATGCGCAAACATCTAAATAGAATTGACATTTTATTAAAGAAATATAATTTAGACGATGCAAGTAAACCTTAAAATTATCTGAAAATAAATCATTTATATAACGATGCTTTGGTTAGAAATTTAACAACACAATCAGTTAAATTGTATTAAGTGATGAGTTTTAGTATTAAATAAAAGAATAGTATTTTATATCAAAATAGAGTCTTCTTGCAATGCCGCTAAAAATTTTTAAAATAACAGCAAATACGCAAATACGCAAATACGTTCGACTTTGTAACAAAGTATATTCAAATATCTTATAAAATATTTACAAAATAGTAAAATTAATTTGACGTTAACAAATTAAAAGTTTAATTAATCAAAGTAATTAGATTAAATAATTTAAATAAGTATTATTGTTTTGAATACAAATTATTGTAACTGCATAGATTCTTTTAATTGTAAACATAATGCAACCATTTAACATTCGAAAAAATTTTAATAATAATGCACGTTTCAGTGTAAGATAAAAGAAATTAATTATTTATATATATATATTAAATATTTTTATTAATAATAAATGAATTATGTTCTTGTATGCGCATTTGTCTTTTTAATTTGTATAGTTCAGTTTGGTGATGTGACATACTACGCCAAGTTATAATGCCCACTATTGTTTCGAGACACAGAACATTAATATAGATCGCTAGCAAAATAGTTATGAGCATCTTGGGACTTTTCACTGATAAGAGCAAAAAAAGTAATAGCGGCAATTGAATTAAAGGAAAAGCTGCTAAAAATGTACTCAAGTGTCCAATCTATTAAAAATTATACAAAATAAATTTATGTACGTATTTAACATAATATATAAATAACCTTTGCTTTCAAATTGCCTCTGTAGCCCATGTACAACCGCCAAGGTTCCACTGTAATCTCAACCACGAAGGCAATTATGGTGAAACTGCTATGAAAATTTGTTAGTTCTGTTATCTGTTATTCGAAAAGAATTATTTAAAATTTATAGTAAGATTAATTAATAAGTAATTTCTGCCCATTCTGATTTCTTTTCACATACAATATCGAGAATATAAAATCCATAAATCAAACAAAATACCACAAACAAAAAAACGTTTAACAGCAACAACATTTGCAATAGTAGATTTGCTTTGTACGGCGCGTCTAAATTTATGTAAATAAATCATTATTACAGCATTAATTTTTCAACAAATAATAGAATTGAAATACCTTTTAATGTTTGAATATCTAATTTAGCCATTTATTACACTTACATATGTTTTTACAACAACTAATTAGTGGAAATTAAAATCTGTTGCCATGGAAAATATTGCAAGCATTGGGCATTCGTTCAATAACTGTAGTGTCAACCCTTATTACATTAACTCTTAGTATTCTTTTGTCCTTATATTTAGTTGTATTAATAACAAAGCTGAACTCCATAAAATCGTTTTTTATACTAATAATACCTTATTTCAATTTAAACGAATTACACAATATTATTTGGTAGGTCAAAAAACCAGGCTTTCTATTACTGTATTTTCGAATTTCTTTTTTTACAAAAGGATTTTCGAAGTCATTGGATGAAGAAGTTTGTTACATATCATGAAGTTTTACTATATCTTGTGATATTTTTTATTGATGTCTTTATAATATTTCTTTATTGAAAATCATGTAGTACTCCAAACTTCTATGACGTATGTGTAAACTGGTTTAAGTATAACTTCTACAACAGAACCTTGTTCTGTTCAGTTTTCTATACTTTTTAAAGAGTTTGTTTGAACTTCTATTTTTATTTTATTTTATTTTAATATAAATTTATATAAATACTTTAATAACGTACTTTTCGCCAGTTTTCTTAATTATTGATGAAATTTTAATTTTTATACTTTAATGTTTAAAATATGGTTAACTATTAGTTAATAATAACACATGAATACTTTGACTACCATAGAGCTTATCTGGATGCTTGTATAATAAACGCGTGAAGCCAAATTAGTCCATGATCTTCAGCGGTGCATTGTTTCGCAAATCACTATAATTAATTTTAATATGATTTTCTGAAATTATCCATTCGCGTTTATACTATAATAATAGAAATTTAATCATAGCATTAATATGACAAATACACAAACAAAGTAAGCAACTCATAGTTTGCTTTTTAGGCAAAGCAGAGAAACTGGCAGTCAATTCACTATAACGGGTTTTGATCGAAATAATATCCTTATTGATATATCAATAAGGAACGCTTGTACAAAATGCAGAATCTAGTCCGGATACTGTAAAAATGAATATTTTATAATTATTTTTTTTTTGCTTAAGTTATGTCTTAAGTTATGCTTACAATAATTATTTTGATTTAAATAAACCTCATTGTGTAATGAGTCTGCAATATATTGGTGTATGCGTATATAAGTAATTTCAAGTTCATCTATTTGTATATTGTAACGACTTTGCTGTAAATTTTCATCTACATCTTCAGCTAAAGGATGCTTTCGATTTAATTGTTTGATACAATCTGCCCAATCTAGTTTAACAATTAAAACCATATGAAGAAGCTAAAAAAAGTAAACTATGTCGAAGGTTACGGTTTAAAGTAGTTAAAATGTATACCTGTTCAATGCCAAGTTTCAAATGTTTTAATTTATTTGTTAGAAAACATCGTTCTATAATAATATTTATATAGTTTTTATGCAGATCTTTAATTTCAGTTAGATTTTTGCATTCTTTTAATTGTGTATCGAAATTTTGATTTTCTGAACTTAACACAGTGGTCATTAAATAATTTTGTATATTTTGTACAGCATACATCATCCATAAACGGAGCATTTCCAAACGGCGCATTGTCAAGTCAATTGTATCAAAGGGCGAAAGTGAACGCATTCGTTTATCCGCAGTAGAAAATGTTAAATTATTTAGAGTCATTACTGCATATTTAACTTTCAGTAGGAAATTCATAAGCTGATTGTAATATTCCAATTGTTTGTCATTAATAATATATGCAATCTCTAATGGTGTATTGTAAACTATTAAAAACTCATCTACAGCTTTTATTACCTTTAAGATATTTATGCAATTTGAAGAAAGTTAATTTTTTTTTTATATAATAAAATATTTTATGAACTTACTTTACTTGAAAAAGTGGTGTAATTTGGAGCAAGTTTAACGCGAAACATGGCAGTCATCCATGGAAGTTTGGCATTTATTACATCATCCAACCGCGAAGTTAATATGTATTCATTAGCCCAAAGTTCATTAGACTCAATCTAGAAAATGAAGAACATATAGGAAACTCACATCTCATAACAATAATCATGCATTACACACCTGAGTAAATAATTTTTCAAAAAAGTAATACATCAGATCTGCCGATTCAAGTAAGAAAACCTTTCTTATATTTTGTAAATGTATTTCAATACAATATTCTTCAAAGTAAAGTTTTATCAAAAACGAATTAGTAAGATTGAGACGAGTTTTTAAAACTATTGCCAAGGCATCCAATACCATTAAATTAAGTTGCAAGCCATTTGGAAATTTATTAAAGTATTGACATATTTGTAGTGCGCCCCAATTATGATATTGGGATCCCGAAGCAGCTTTACTTATAACTTCAGGTTTATTATCATCATAAGAAAATGCAAAAGTTAGAAATGGATCTGAAGTGGTTAACTGAGTTTGCATAGTTGAAGTACAGATTCTCTCAACGTCACTAGCTTTTGAATCTAGTGTAGTCGTAATTTCAGTATCTAAAGTAACATCGGCTTTCAGCGTATTATTAGCATCGGAATTGATCTTTTTTACAATAGTTATGATTTTGTTTATAAAAACCTCATACAAATCGATTTCAATTGTTTTATGAGATTTATGTAAATCTGTAATGCGATTGATGTCATTTAGTATATTAAGTGAGTAAACTGCCTCTTTTGAATATTTAACCATCAAATGATAAAATTGCGATGTCGTTATAACATTAGATATGTTTACAGGAATATTAAGCGAAGAATCTTCATCTTTGTTGAAAGTTCGTATATATAAATTAGGATCATCTTCATCCTTTCTGAATCAAACATACCACTTAAAATGAAAATAATTTATAATAAGACATTAACGTTTACCTTTCACCTATAAATTCATGCCGCCAGTCACCTAATACTCCTAAATTCCAGCAATCGTTGATGATACTAAGGTATACTTTAAATGTTGATAGAAATAATGACATTCCTATATTAACTTTCTCTGTGCTTACATTTTCCTGACAATATTTTAATAATCTTGTTAGTACAAACGTACTAGCAACATGAGGAGGAAGTTTGAGTAAGTTTTGCTCCACCTTTATATGAATCATAAATACATTTTCTAAATGCTTTAAAGACTGACGTAAAGTATATTGAAAGTTCATTAGAGTATTAGTGTCAAAGTTTTGTTGGTTCATTAGACGTTTTTCATAATTTAAAAGATCCTCTTCTACAGGATTAAGTAATGCATTCACATTATATGCATAACATTCGACAGTTTTGGGTATTATCTTGCCCTGATTCTCTTGCATTGATTCAATAAAAGTTCGTAATCTATGCATCATTTTGATGTGTGGTAAAATTTTGTTTTCCATGTAATCAAGAAGACCTTTCTGAAAGTGTTTTTTAAATGTACTAATGTAAATGGTTTAACAAATTTAAGGGAAATTACCACTGTTAAACTTGGTATGGTAACATATTCGCGCATATTAATACTATCTCCTTTAACTTTAAAAAAGAAACAATCTTTGGGCACAAAAAACATCCAAATTATTTCACGTAGTAGACAGTACTCAGTTGCAGTAGAAACTGGCTCACATATTAAATACGTATTTCTCTTTAAGAACTCTTCATAGATTTCAGCTGTATGTGCCTCTGGGTGAACGCTTCGAATACTTGCTGCATTTGTCTTATAATTTTTTATCCACCATTTATCTTGCAGTAAGGTATCTACATTTTGTTTCGCCTTACTATCATCATATAGAACATATGGCACTACTTTTTGTGGTGGTTTAATATTGGCAGTACATTTTAATATTTTTTGTTGTATCAATACCGTTTCATTGAGAGTTTTCTCTGCGAAAGGGGGTGAAGTAGTTTCGTCTTGGTTAGCATTTGATTCTTCATCGTTCGACCAATCCTGTTGGGTAAATATGTTATTTACAGTTAAAAATTAAATTTTGAATTCTTACACTTAGTTCAGATTCAGATGAAAACGTACTTAGTGGTGGTAAGTCTTCATTTAGTAAGTTTTGCCAGTATTTTTTATTATAGATCTTATTGTCGTTTTGTTCATCCGATTGCACTTCAAGTAATTTTATTTTGTGTTTATTTTTGCGAAGTACTGCTGCTGGATTGTAAGCTATTGAAATGAAGAAGTCCACCAGAGCCCAATTTAAATCAAATTCGTAATGATTAAGACACAACGGATGTGTTATGATTACATTACACAAATCTCCAAATTTTTTCGCATATTCTGCACAATTTTCAGCAGTAAATTTCTCTTGTATACCTTCAATCTTTCTCTTTATTTCGTGGCTACTGATACTTATTTTACGATAAGTACGTAAGACGGACCAAGCAAAAGATTCACACACCTTTAAATTTTCATCGTCATCCTGGTAAAGATATTATTAATTATTTGCGTTTTACAAATTGAAATGTTTACTTTAAAACCAGTTAAAGATTTAACAAGTTGAGGTATGTTTTCTTTAATTATCTCATTGCGTATTTCTTGTATGGACATTTCGTTTGTAAGATTATTTTCAGTAAATACTTATTTACAGCTAGTTAACTTTAATAAACTAGGAACATATTGCGGAGAGTAAACAAATGAATTAAATTAATTCACCACTTATTTACAATTTGATGTGTTGAGTATGTTCAGTGTACACCTATTCAAATGTCAAAAAAATCTAAATAAAATAAATGTTGCGATATATACATAATTTTGAAATGTATACCAGATTTGTAATATGTGTGGCGAACCCAGTTGGGAAAATTTTGAATACAAAAAAAATCTAAAAAATTGAAAATAAATAAAATCTGTTGAAATGTCTGAAGTATTTACTTAAAAACTTAAATTTAATTCTATAGTAAATAAATGACAATTGCATATGTTATTAGAATCATCGAGCGAAACTGACTCTTCCATTCCCTTTTTACTAGTTCAAGTGTATGGTATTAAGCTCAAGGGATGAAATGTATCATCATGGATATAGTGGAAGTTTTGTGGAAACGATCAATAATTTTTTCGTTAAAGATTATTTGATTGGTATTTGCGCATAAAAAATACAATTGCTATATATTAATTATGTTTCATATTTTAATAGATTTGTTAATAAATTTCAATCAGCAAATGCATAATAACCGTGATGATGACATTTGGACGAGAGCAATGAAGGAATTTTATATATTTTTGTGGTATATGGCATATATAAATACTTTTCCAAAATTTGGTATTTGTTTTGGCATATCAAAAGCTTCTGTATGGAGGATAATTGAAAGAACTAGTGTTTAGCTTATATCAATTGGACACTAATTTATTAAATACGCACTTGCTTATAGTGCAAAAGTGGAATCTACGAAAAAATTTCCGTTCGTGATTAGTTGCATAGACAGCACACATGTTAAAATAAATGCACCTCACCATAGCAATTAGGCTTATTTTAAAAGAAAGCATGACTATGGCTTAATCTTGCAGGCAGTTTGCGATGAAAATGGTTTTTTTTATAAACGTATATGTTGGAGAGCCTGGTTTCTTATGTATTGTTCTGTTTTAATTAAATCAATGTATTCAACTTAATTTTTATATATTCATTTCAAATTAATTGATGTTAATAAATTATCAAACAACACTTTTTCAATAATAATAAAACGTAAATTATTAAAGTAATAATTTTAATTACATTGATAATTAAAAGGTTACTTTAAACAAAGAAATAAATAATAATGACATATTAATTAAATAAGTACATAAAATAAATAATAAATAAATAATATCAATAGTAAATAAATATAAATGTAGATTTGTTTAAAATTTTACTGCACCGTTGCATCGCATTGCCAACCTTATTTGCATTAAAATATGTTCCACTTTTATCTTTTACATACATTCCACATTGAACCAGAAAGTGAACCAGATCAATTGCTGGTTCACCCCATTGTTTTTGTTTTGCATATAAAATTGAGCGGATCATGTTTGCTGAAACGCAGCTAATATCAAATAAAATAACACAATGCACTTTTACGAAAAAACACGTGTTATGATTTTACTTCTTTATTTCTTAATTAACACAATAATAATAAAATTTCAAAAACATTAAGTAATGTGTTTCTTTTTGCTGGTCAATTTCATCTGCTACCGGCAACAGATTGCCATGCGAACGTAACAAATTATAAATGACACTTACATCATTACACCAAAGCCAAATTACAAATTATAATCGAACGTGTATTTCAAAAGCTGCAGCAATACAAGTACAGTTGAACGATCTCCTAAAAGACAAAGAGGTTCGATACGATCGAAGTAGTGTTGTTGTCGGAGCTCAATGCAGCATTCGAACAATGTAAAGTAAGTATCTCATCAGCCGCCAAATTAGTACACTTATCACCAACATATCCATTACGATTGTCGACGTAATTGCACCTAGTTCCCCAACTGGTTCTGTTCTTAATCAACAAATAGGTGATCATTGGAAGCCAGTTTCAATTTACTCTGCAAAGTTAAGTGCAGCCCAATTCAATTACAGTGCTTACGATAAGGAGCTCTGAGCAGTTTACCTTTCGATCAAACTTTTTCGACACATGCTAGAAGCGTGACACTTTACAATTGAAACAGATCACAAACCACTCACTTTCATATTCAGACAAAAGGGAAGAACTATCACCTCGCCAAGCGCGACACTTAAGTTACATTGCTGAATTTTCAATTGATATAACACACGTGTTTGGTTCTAACAACATAGCAGCTGACGCTCTATCACGGGCAGTCGTAATAACAATGGCTCAATCATGCAGTTTAGAATGCATCAGTGAAGCTTAAATCAATAACGAGGAGTTGGAGCTCAAGTCCAAATCAAGTACGCCGAATCCAAAGTATGTTTGGCCGTCAAATTGTAAAGATGTAAAGTCATGGGTTCGTCAATGTCATAGCTGTCAAAGAGCAAAGGTCAACAAACACAATAAGCCAGCTTTAATGTTCTTTCCAGAAACAGACCAACGATTTGATCACGTTCACATTCACCTGATCATTCTTCCAGAATACCAACGTTATAAGTATGCTCTGACAATGATCGATAGACGTTATTGTTGTTGTAACCCGCCGGGACCTGAAAGCAGATAACATGTAAGGATTACGAGACTAACTAACCAAGATCCAGCCGAAGAAACCTAGCAATCTCAAGAAGACGAGTCCAAAGGTCGATTGGATTTAAATTGGTGTGTGCATTGGGGCAAGAAAACAGACTTCAATGAATTTAGAAGACCTACCAATGAAAATGTTCAACCCTATTACCTCTAAATATTCGTCATTCGTCGAGGATAACGTTAGCTCACTGTGTGATAATGAATCTCTCAACAGAAAGGCAACTCCATCTCCGGCTTCCCTAGGACGGTCCTTTCGTATAAGGGTGAAAGGTCTAAGGTCTAAGATGGCACCATCCGTTACAGGAATTGCAACGTACAGTTATGGTGTTCCTAGAGATTGCTCGATTGCAAACTGTGCATAGCCAGTTGGTAGAAAAAGGGGATGCCATGGGGGGAGGTTGGAAGGCGTTGATTGGAAGCGGACTGTCAGTGATTGACGAAGATGTAGATGGTCTAATTGGAGGAGTAGTATGACAACAAGCTCCTCTAAAGGCAGAGTTCCAATCGGTATGGCTATGCAAACCTGAACAGTTACGGAGGTGGCACCAGTTATTGCAACTGTTGTACCTAACAGATGTATGGTTTCTTCGAATAAGATTGTTGCAGACAGAGCAGTGCTATTTTGAAATAGCTGGTATGGCAGGACCAGGATTTGATTCAATTCCAGCCATTAGAAGTAACAAAAGAAGCAAGATGGCCGGAACTTGCTTCTTAGTGGGAAAAACTCATATAAACGACATATGTCAACAAACACATACCTGATTGTAAAGTCCCTTTGGGGGTGGTTGAACGCGGCTTGGTTGTCTTTGACGAGTGGCTCCGAGACGTAGACCTGGTCGTTCTTGGAGCCATGATCGATAGATCCAGTCGGTGGCCGGAAATAACACTTCTCAAAGACATGATAGCAGATTCAGTGGCTGCAACTTTCTTTGCAACCTGGCAAATTTTGCTTTTTATTTTAAAACGCACAAATAACTGTTTTTTTTTTCTTTATAAATATAAAAATTACGAATAACTTTTATTTTTAAAAAGAAAATATACACACTGGCCTTAAAACCAGTGTCAATGTGTATTTTCGTTTTTAAAAACGAAAATATAAAATTAATTTTTCATAATAGGTAGTTGTTTTTGTAATTTCATACAAAATGTATTTAATAAGTTCTTGTCTTACAAACGCATAGCAGAAAATTTAGGTTTTTTTTCCTGAACGGCATACTAACTTTATTTGATAAAATATTTCAATTTTAATATCATTATTTAATTTTATAATTGAACTTCGTCTTGTATAATAAAGTTTAAATAAATTTTATTTAAGTAACTCATTGAGAAAATATTTGCTTTCTATATATTATAAAATATTTTTTAACGTATACTTTTAATAAATTTTATAATATTTTTGAAAAAGATTGACAAAAAATCACGAAACCGCTACTGAATTAATTTGATAAAATCAATTGGCCTGTTAATAGAAATGAATTGATATATCATCGGGAAGAATATGAAATGATGTTGAATGATTGCAAAGTATTTAAATAGGTTCTTTTATTGTTATATTTTATGATGGGCCCTCCTATAACGTTTAGTAATAAAATTTTTTTTAATGTGCATATTACATATGTATGTATTTCACTATATAGAATAAGTTTACGTTAAATTATATGATTTTGGAGTGGCAGTCTTTGGTAGCAAAGATCACTTGGGCACAAAAAATGGGCCGTTGTGATGCCACCGATGAGTCAGATATAAAGAACCATCTTTAATATAGGAGACCGAAGTACATAGTGTACGAATACTGTTTCTTTGAGAACGCATGTTTACCTTATTGAAGTAAAAGCGTATCAATCTGACAAAAACTTGGCTAAGTCCTTAATTTAAAAAAATGAGAGTTCCGTCAGGTCAATTATAGAAGGGGTCCAAAGAATTTGAATCTTCTCATAGGTAATGCTGGGTATTAATACATGACATGGAGAACAGTTTCCTTCTTATCTGCAGAGCCCCAACCTTAAAGAAAGCTGTAAAAGGTAATTTGCATTAGGTGAGTCTTGTAATCGGACAAGAAACTTCATCTATCCTGGTTTTCTTTGTCTACTCAATATATTTTTATTTTATATTTTATTGTTCGTTTAACCATTTTAAGAGGAATACCAATATCAGGAAAGTGCATTTCGAGTGTCAACGTACTTGCTTTGGTTAGTTAGTTGGTTTTACAGTTAGCGGAGATGTCTTTGTGTCCAGGCACTTATATGAGTTAAACACTGACACGCCTAGAAAACTGTTACATCTATTAGAGATTTAATTGCGTCATGTTTTTTCGAGACGATTGTGAAATTCACGCCAAAAATGGCTTAGGACTTACTTTGTAGCATAGTGTAAATGTTTGCCACATAACTTATTCCCGTATAGAAGGATAGGTTTAAAAAAAGCTGAGTAGAATCTGGGGATGATTTGAGCTTACAGACCTCATCTGGAGCTAATTACTTTTCCACAATAAGAAGGAATACACGTTACTTACGGATTCTTTGAGCTTCCAATTAGCCTTCCAATTTAGTTTAGCGTCAAGGATGTGACCAAGTATTTTCATTATTTTTTTATTATTTTAAATTATGCTAAACGAATGTTATTAATTTTAGGTAAGGAAAATGTATGCTTCTCGTGAAAAAATTAATCTCAATTTTTGTTGGGTAAACCTAAAACCAAATTCTCCGTACTATTTTGTTACAGTGACAAATAAAGAATTTAAAACATTCGACAATATCCTCGAAAACCTGCCCAATACAACAATAGCAATGTCATCCACATAAGCACTACCACTGCATTCGGATTATTAGAGTTGACACTTTCGATATTGAAAGTGATTCAGTAATATCTCTACAAATTTTACCAGAGTAGTGTATATTTTAAAATTTTAAGAAGAATTTTGTGATTACGATTGGGCTATCATCATGAAAGGCATTGGGCATCCAAGGTATCAATAAAAGTGGTAAGTGCATATTTCTTGAAGGTACATATATCTACATATATTTGATATACACACATATGTATAATAATAATAATACATGAGTTTGGCTTTTAATTGTGTTCAATAAATTTATTAATTTAGTCTTATAAATTTTTACATATATACAATATATTTGAAAAGCAGTAAGTTAAGAACTTACGCCTATAATAGATTCTATGGAAAAGCTTAATTTTGGTTTTTTTGTGGAATTTGTTAATTGTTCAGTATATATCTCCGAAGTTAGAGTGTTTCCTTCTTCGAAATGCATTGGTGGACTTGGTGTAGCAACTGTATTAGATTCCTCTTTATTAATAGGCTTAAATAGGCTTATGTTGTTGTTGTAATTAGGAGTTTCTGGTACACTTTTAAAATTCATTGTAGTGGAATAGTACTGAGGTAAATTTTGCTCAGCCATATATTGTGGTACTAGTAATGTCGGGATAGTGTTAAATGTTGCGGCCAGACTAGCTGTAGGTATCTGCACTACATTATGTATTTGAGAAACAGCAGCTGCGGCAATGCAATTCAGTTCCGGATCGGCAAATGCGCGTCGCTTGCGTATTCTTTCCATTAGTGGAGAATGTATTGTGGGAAATCGGTGCTTGTATTCTGTAAAGGAAAAAGGGTGTAAAAAATTAGTTAAGGTTCAGATTATCTAATGATAACTCTTTGAAGTATGTGTGAAATTACAAATAAGTTAGAGACTTAAGGTACTAATCAGTCAAAGAGCATATGCGTTTGAAAACGATTTCACCGATGCGTTCAACTATGAAATTCTTTCTGTTACATGAAATTCAGTGATGTGCTAAATAACTAAGGAGAGAATGGTGTGTATGAAATTGTTTTCCCTTGCTATGCATTGGTCGATTGAGATAACTAGGCAACAAACTATGCAGACCAGATGGAACGTGCAATTTTAAGTGATTTTGAAAGGTTTTCCATATTTGGGCATAATTTTTGTTTTGGTTAGATATGCTCGTATTTAAAATTGAAATTCAAGTGTTTTTTCCGTTTTTAAATATCAATTTTCAATATTTTAAATTTTTTTAAAATTATATATCACTTAGCACATTAGCTGTACGTGTAACATCCTGACTATTTCACGAGTATTTATTTAGTACAAATACGCAAACAGCCGATGGGACTCCGATTTCATTTGACGAGTTTGTAACAATTTGTTGGTATAATGCGTATCTTGCACAGAAGAAGATGTTCTCGTATCAGAGCAGTTTATGTCGTTTAATGCATTTTAACGCGTCAAATTACCGAAAAATAATAAAAAGTATGGTAACAGACACATTGTCTACCAAACACAAAATTAATGCCAGACTGCCTGGCACCATTTTTACTAACACTAAAAAATGTTAGATACTTTTTCAGCACACCGTTCAGATTTGATTGTGTGTTTGCCAGTAATTGTTTGCCTTTTAATGCCTTTTATTTATATAGAATAAATAATTGAATATAATTGGCGGAATTGCAACAAAAACATTTATAGATAGGTTTCTACCAACAGTGCTAAAGTTATAATTGGTTTTTATTAACATTTATACGGTGGTGTATTAGTCATGTCTCCGTAGAGATAAAAAAAGTCTATTACCTATTGCATCTGGGATAGCAGGGTCAGATTGACCTAACGTAAATCTATGAATTTATATAAAGGATACATATGGACCATTGTCAGAAAGTATGATATTCTAAGACGAAGTTTTATTTAAAACTGAGTGTACTAATGTCGATCCTTATTTACACCTATGATTTATTACTCTTCACAACGAAGGTAATGAAGAGCACAATATATGGGTAAGTTTATTAGATAATACAGATAAAATAAACCGGATTTTGAAGAAATAAATCATTAATTTTAAACCGTAATAATGTATATGCTGCTATTGACTAGCTTTTATCAGGGATCTTTATTAAACTTTATTTATTTTATTTTTTTAACTAAAAACCGATCTCTTTTCGTTAGTCCTAATTTTGAAATATTTGGCAGTAATTAAAGAAGTTTAAAGTGGTTTATAAACCCCATAATTAATCGATTAAAACCGATTAAATTTATTAACGGTTGAGCAACAAAGGTATGAGCAGAAATTAAATGAATTAATTTCTTTAAATTCAGTTTATATTTTGATATTTCATTTTATCAAGACATTTGCAATACATATGTATATGATTACAGTACAACGACTACAGTTCGGGATTTTTATATAACAACTGCTAACCATTTTATGATACTTAACTTATAACTTGTATACTTTTTCTAAATATAAATTTCTTAGTTTTTGAAATCACTTCACAAGAACGGTATTATCTGAATCTAAGCATATGTATCTGAAACTTTCCTCTTGTTAATTGTTTACAAATAATAATCAAATAATGGAAATAACGTGAATCAATTATCGTTCGCATTATAAATTTCGGTCGGTGCGAAATGCATTTCAGTTTGATGGATTTGTGATGTTTCGAGCAAACGTATAAACCCTTTCGAAAGATTTTATAAATTTTCTTTGTTGAAAATTCAACTAAAATACAAGCACAAACATGTATTCCAGCAATATAAGCAAGAACACATGGTGCCAAATGAATGTGTCCATCAAATATTTTTGGAATATTTACATATTTAAATTCTATTAATTTCTTGACTAAGAAAAATGAGGAAGCACAAGCGCAGGATTAATGAAAAACTGCTAATTGCTTTTGCATTTAAATGGCATTAATATGTGATAGATCAATTTCAACTGCAGTAGGCAAAATTCAAAAATAGATGAAGAATTTGCAATAAATATGGAACTCACCTTCCAGGGCGGCGGTCATGTGCAATGTCGTCTGTTGAAGGGAGCGTAGGCGTTGTTTGTAGATCTTCTTTTGAACGACTAATGCTTCTTTGGTGCGCAATGCATTGGCTCGATTTGATGCGTTACTTTGAGGTATTCTGGTTGATGTTATTGATAAGTTGTTATTGTTGCTTACAGGCATGAGAGTTGTGTCTTCATTACTAATGCTGCTAATATTCGCTTCCAGTGCTTCGATTGATTGTTGACGCCTTAGTGCTACTTGTGCGGCCATCACCTTCTGTCGATCCACTACAAGTTGACAATTCGGACAACAGCATTCTCGCCAGCGACAGAGTTTTTTGTGGCCTTTAACACAAGAAATGACTCCATGATTCCGACATCGTGCACATTTGGGTGTGCGTAGCATTAACAGACGCTGTTCCTTACTGGAGTTTGGCAATAGCGGCCCTGATAACGGTTTGGTATTTAATTTATCCATTTGTTGATTAAACGACAAGAATTCTGTAGTGGTAGATATCATAGGCAGTTGTAGTTAAAAAATAACATTCAAGAAAAGATGATATATTTAAGTATATTTTATATAAAATGCATAACTTCTTTAATTTGTGTTGATGACTAAATTGAAATCCCTTTTTCAAAGATGATATTTATTTTCAAATTTAAAAACAAAACTAAAATTTAAGACTTTTAATTTATTTGCCTTTTGTTTTACCGCAGCTTTAATAACCGTGAATATGTAGTTTTGTTTCTAATTTTTATTTACTATATATTTGCTAAATATTTACACCTACACATATAAAGTTATTTTTTGCTTTTTGACTTTAGAACTCATTTTGAATGAATGAGTTCTAAATGGTAGGGTCAATCAATTTATTTTATATCTAAACTTGATCTACCTAAATTTACAAATATTTCATAGTTGTGAAGTAAATTATAGCCATCCAGACAGACAGTTAACTCGTCTGTTTTACTGGCTAAAAATATATTACTTGATCTATATCTTCTTCTCTGCATTATACATAAATAACTTGAAACATCTAATGAACCAATCTATAGTAAATAGTATAAGGGGAGAAAAAGCTGTTTATAAATATATACATATTTTTTTATATACAAACAATATTTTTCGATATAAAAAATGTTTTAAAGCAAAATATATTGGTAAAAAATAAGTAGAGTTATTATATTTTTGATAAATAAAGTTAGAAGAATCAATCTCGTCGTATCTCCGGTCTTCTGATTATTTCAATAAAAAGTTTTTTAGCTATTGCGCTAATTATACACATTTTTGAGATTATTTGTTAGTATGCAGTCTAGCATGGTTAAATTAATTTATTAGTTTTTTAGTGTGCTTTTTAGTATCTTCTATATAAAATTTTTAATGAATGTATTACAAATATAAGGAAAAAATTAAAATACTTCAGTTATAATACAATAAATAGAAGATAAAATTTTTTTTTTGCAACCCGAGCTTTTCCATAGGAAACGTGACATGTGATATTTCAATATGAGTGAAAGGTCATTATAACTCCGGGATAATAAGTCACGGATGCGGACTCGTTGACTCTTGGAATGCAAATATATAAATTAATCTATTCTTAATTTAGTAATTTGAAAAAAAAATTTGATAATTTGGTGCACTGTACTTTGCCATGTTATATTATTATTATATATAAGAATAATCAATTAATTTCTTTAAAAAATTTTATACAATTCATAATAGTACTACCCAAATTAGAGTTCACATTTTAAACTATTTTACGAACATACACCGGTGGTACTTACTGCTTTAATTTAGAATGTTCAGATGTATTTATTTTTTATATAATATAAAATAATTTTTCTTATCACAATTTGTTGCAAATATTTTTTAATATTTATTTTGTTAACCGTATTATAAAGTTCAATACAATTTTCATGATATTTTTGGTAAGATTTTTGTTGATATTGAGCCGTTTATTTCATACGCAATACAACTTAACCCGCGAGAATTATTTAATAAACTGGAAAAAATATTCTTTGCTTTCCGAATGATTTCACATATTTTCCAATACAGAAATACGTGAAAAATCGTAATTTGAAAATGTTTTAAATTTGTATCTTTTCAAATGGTTGCAAGTATCTAGCTAGAATCGTTTAATGGCAACATGCGATCTTGAAGTCAAGTGGCTCAATGTCCACAAGATTGCCTGCTGCGATTGGCTGTGCTGAGGATCGCTAATCGCTGATATTAAAAATAGCTCACCAATGACATGACACAAGTTCAGATATGTTAACTGCGACGGAGAGATGCAGTGCCAATGTTTGTTGAAAGCAAAATATATTGTAAATTATGTTCAGATAGAAACATTTTGATTGATATGAACATTAATGAGTGTATACATTATGAAAGAAATTACATTTTGAAAGTAAACAATTCATGTTAATAAAATAAAATTAAAGTAATTTCTAATTAAAATTCTTGTGGTCCGTGATAAGAAATTTATTTCGAATAGATAAAAAAATTTTACAAAATTATCAAAATATAGCATTTTAAATTTTATTTTTATATACTTCACTTCACAAAATTTGTAGAATTACTAGAATTACTAGTTACTACTTTTATGTTATATTAGTTTCTAAAATTTTATTGCGTTTATTCCATGTAAAAAGAATTTTGATCATTTTATCAAGAAAATATATATCTTTATTTTCCAGTCCGATTATTACAGAATCTCTGCTCTTTAATGTATACTTTATGTTGTTTTAAAATAGAGGAGTAAGCTTAATTAAGGTTTGTTCAAATATGATTCTCGCATAATTATATGCCTTCTTTTGTGCCCTTTGCTCCAATTTGAAACACCAATGTTTATAACATTATTGTTAATAATATTTGTTATAACTAACTGGTATATATTGTCTATAGATTAGGTAGGAACAAATTAAACACAGTTTTTTGAATTTTTATTTGATAAATTTTATTATTTATTAACATCATGTGTTGTATTTATAATAAATTTATTAAAATTCAACAAACAATATAAATTGATTAAATATATATTTAACATTATTTTCATATAATTAAATTTAATAATTACATTATAAACAGTTTTAATGAAATAAATTTTTGATATTAATACATATACCTTGTGATCAAAAACGAACGAGAATTTAAATTTTTTAAATTCTCGCGTCTATCCAATCGGTAAATTTTTTTTATTTTCACATTGGCAACACTATTATACACATTCTGTCAAAGTTCTTTTTTGATCTATTATAAAAATCGCGGAAATTTTTCGACTTCTTTGTATAGACGCCTAACAAAAACTAATCGTACGATATGCGTTAAACTTTGACAGAATGTGTATAATAGTGTTGCCAGCGTGAAAATGACACAAATTTACCGATTGGATAAGTGCGGGAATTCAAAAATTAAAATTCTCGTTCTTTTTTGATCACAAAGTATATATATATATATTTATATATAAACTTTTTGGTATAACAATTACGCTAATATTTGCTTTCTTTAATCTTGTTTATTAATATTTTGATATAAATATCATGTTTAAGTTTTAGATTTAAATTATTAATGCGTTTACATTTTATTAAGTTAGGTGAAATTTGTACCTTCTTAATTCTTAAAAGCATATTTAAATAAAGTGTATCTATTAGATTCAAAAACTCATTTAATCAATTAAATTATTTAAAAATAAAACTATTGGGAAATCTAGATTTCATAAAGTTTTAAAATCTCGTGTTCAAATCAATTTTAATGAATTTAAAAAGAAATAGTAAATATACTTATGTTCCTTAAACTTTAGTTCGAAAGAGAAAAAGAGAAAATAATGAATTAATTTGTTAAATTTGTTAATTAATTAATTAAGAATAAAATTTCGTTTTTAAAAGTTTAAACAAATTTAGGTAAACAAAAGTAAATTTACTTCAGCAAATTTGATATTTATTTGCATTTAGTCTTGCGCATCCACGCATTCACGCATCCACGCATACATTATTACATAATTAAAAAATAATAGCAACAACAACCTCAGAAGTCTCAGACTCAGACTCAACAGCCTTAGAAATCAAATAATATAAAAAAGAAGTCAGATAAACAATGAAAAAAGAGTTAAGATTGTGTAAAATTAGTAATATTTGCTGCAAAGAATGTAATAACATTAAATAAATATGTACAACTAATATTAATAATAAATATAACAAATAATATTAATAAACTATTTATACAATGTAATTTCAATAAATATAACATATAATGATAAGATAATAACTACATAAGAATATGTACGAGTAGTTGATATTTTTAATCTCGAAATACGAGGCAGTTATCGTTTAATAATAGCAGTGATAACATAAAAGTTTGATGATGGTCAACCACAGACTTTCACAGATGGATGTTGTTCAATTATAAAATTTTAAAGATGAATATGCTTTAACCATAGATTTTCAGAGATGGATGTGATTTCACCACAAACCGTCGCATTTAAATAATCTGTTTAGTGACGTGAAATTAATTACAATTTCTTAAGTTAGTAGTTAAAAATACTGAAAAATATTTATTGTCATTATAATTTAATGTTTTGATTCATAAAATACCCATTTATTAATTCATTATAAATATATAATAATAAATATGATAATTATTTTATAATAAATCAGCTGTTTAATTCGTTATATGACTTAAAATTTATTTAATTTTTTGAAATTATATTTATTAATTTAACACAAATAAATTGTATTAAATCATATATTATGATATAGTGGTTTTATCGGTACCTACTAGTAATTATTGGAATATCTCTTTTATTATTTTTATAGTATATATGTATATAAATAAAAACAATATTAAATGCAAAAATTTTTTTATAGATTATGTTTTATGGTGCTGTTTGTTATACGATACGATATTTACGTTAATATATTCTCATTGGCTTATAAGTACATATATTATATCATATAAGTATATAAAATATTTTCAATAACAAGAAAATTTAATATATTTATTAAAAATTAACATTGTTTAATAAGATTTTATTGAATTTTTCATGCTAATTATTTATACAACAAATTCTACTATATTCTATTAAATATTTTATTAACAAGTTTTGATTTGAATACATTAACATATTTATATATTTCGTAATATTATTACATATAATATATAATAATTTTTTTATTTTATTTATGTATCACAATTTTAGGGTTACAAATATAATTTTTTTCTAACTTTCTTATTTATTATTTTTCTAATTCTCAAATAAATTATGGTTTAACCACATTTTGTTTATATATTGTATGTATATTTATCTATATATTGCATGACATACATATAATATAATTTATAATTTTTCTTCTATCAGGGTACGAATGTAGTTTCTCTAAAACGAAGATTATACTTTTTATATTAATGATTGCCGACAATTAATAAATTTTTCAAAATTTATTTATAAAACAATAAATAAAAGTTATAACAATTATAATTATATTATTAGAATTAATAACAAATATGTATTACACTTTAATAAAAGCTTATAACAAACCCGTATGCGTTCTATTTATTAATATTTATTAATTACGTGTATTATATATTTGTTATATAAAAAATGTATAGTTCCAATTTTTGATTAAAATTCTGATAGTTTTTGGTTCTGTGCTACGCTAATATGGATATTAACTCCTCTTCTTATTAACTTATTAAGTTAGCCTATAGGTGATAAGAAATACCAGCAATTTATGTAATATATAAATTTAAATAGAATCTAAATAGAATAAATAGAAATTTTTTTGAAGATTAATACCTTCCAAGTATGAGAGTAAAGGACATTGACAACTGCAGAATATTTGAAATGCAAAGTGAACCACTGCCTATATTATCTATTCGTTTCTTGAATTCCCATTTGGTTTTCATTGAACTGTCACAAGGAACGACAAGACTTCTATATAACAACATATGTTGTAGACCAAAGATCATTTTATGTAGGTATGTTCAAAGTGCTACTAAGAACTTCAGTCGGAGTTCACGAATTTCTATCTTACGAACAGTGGTAAGGAAAACACAGTTAATAGTCTTCCCCAAGAGCAGCAGAATCACGAATTTAGAATAGCGGAATTTGTAAATTTTTAATTTGATAAATTAAATTTAATAATTTCACGGCAAATATTTGTAAATATTTTTGATAATATTTATGAAAACAATTTATGGAAATATTTTTAGAATCACTTCTTTTTTAGTTGAGGTAACAACTGTATGCATTTTATAAAATATTCGGGATTTTCAGGTTTTTCAGAATTTCTGTTTGACATAGACTCATAGTTTTCATATTTTGAAAAATATGAATTTGAAAAGATCCTTTACTATGTGAGAAAATCAAAGTAAAATTAGTTAGAAAATTTATAATCCATAGAAGTTTCACAATATTATATGGCATTATTTTATTTAGTCATTAATTTCAAAAGACTTATCACTTGTAAATGTAAGTTATTGCCCTTGTTTTTGTATTTAACACATATTAAAAAAGCCTATCAGAATACTTTTTCCTTATATAATATTTCCTGTAGTATTTTCTAGTATTTTTGAGTTTTTTACGTTACAAAGAAAATACATAGATGTATAAAGAGTGAAATGTGCTGAATAGAAGCTCAATTTTAGTGAAAGGATATAAGTGCTTTGTAGAAGGTAAGTAGATAAAAAAATTATTAAAGTAATAATTTTAAAATAAATTTACGTTAATAATTTCATAAAATTGAATAAACGATTTTTGCTTGACTTTAAAAATTCCCTAAAACATAAATTTGTTTTCAATACCAAAAGCAAACTGTATAACAATAGCACTATACAGTAATTACAACCTATGATATACATATGACATATTCGACTCATACTCAAGATTAATACATTGCGAATTTGAATTTAAATGATGCTGTTTCGTTTTGCTCGCAAAACTTTGCTTTGCAATGCTGCAACAACAGCCTCGGCACCACCAGTAAAAATGGGTTGATTTGTCGCACGTCGTAAAATGTGCCACATAGCGACAGGTTTTCGTAGTGACGAGAGCATTTGATGCCAATGCCGTAGACCTAACAATATCAAAATCGAATAGATTGTAAATTTTTAGTAAATTGTATACATACCTTTGCCTGTGGAACAGCTGCCAGCTATTACATGTCCCAATGGCACTATTGTACTTCCAACTATTCCAAAAACTGTTAGACGCAATTGCACAGTAGTCAAGCTTTGTGGCGGTAAACTGAAGATCACAGATTCATTAAAAATAATATTGCGACCAGTTCTCTTAATCGAAGTGCGTTTTTTGAGAACTTTTTTTTCGTTGTTCATCAAATAAACCTATCACCATTTGTGAAATTTAACAATAGAAAATTATCAATATGACAATTTTTACCTATTTTATTTTTATATTATATGCCAACATTACATATGTACATTACCTTAACAAAAACATTTTGCACTTCTTGTGGTGCTCCTGAACCATTTTCGGAGCCGTCCATTTTAAGTTTGAGATTTCTGGCTTTTACAACAACAATGGTTAATCTTTCAGCAGTCGGTAAATAGCTTAAAGAAATCATTAATTCTCCCCACTTAGCATCACATTTCCGGGAATCTGATAATGGAATCCATGTTGTTATTGGTCGAGGCAATTCAGTCATTTCCATTTCTGCTTCACCTTTAGGTACATTAAAAATAATATTTTATTAATATTTTATACAAGTGTATATTTTATTTAAATATAATCACCTATAAGAGTATGTGCGTCTCCATTGTGATATAAATGAAACCATAGAGAATGGCGCCTATATTGCCTTTTTAGCCAAAAATTGAAGGCTTCATTATAATGTGGAGTTCCGGAGTTTTTAAATACCTAATAAATAGAAAGTAGTATATGTAATTGTATACATAACATATATATAAAAAAAATATATATTATATTAAAAAAATATTTTAATTAAATATTTACTTTTGTTTGCATAGCTCCTGCTTGATCCGGAACTAAATAGATGCGTACAAATGTATCTAAAGATTCAACATTAAGGGGACATATAAGTCCTTTTGCTTCCAGGACTTGTACTGTGAGATCCATACCGTCTTCGGTAGGAGAATTTCTAAGGATATAATGAAAATGAAAAAAACAAAATTATGCTATTTTTTAATGCATTACAAATTTTCGTTAAAAGGAACTATATGAACTAAAAACGAATAAAGACTGCTACATAGCAGTAAAATGCAAATTCACGTGAGTGTTTGCATGTGAATATAAAAGCATTGCAAAGGTTGTTGCCTTTTAACAAAGTTGGGTTTAGCACATGATGGATGAGTAGAATGCGTTTCATAAATTCCACATACAATTTTAAAATGTTATATTTTAATAGAGTAAATATTATATAAAATTTTCTTACTTATCATACTGCAATCCGATACATAAATAGCCCGTAATTTGGGTGTATGGCTGGTCCAAGTCGGGAAGAAACAAAGATGAATCCGAATTTACAGAATCGCAAGAAATTGCATGTTCCAAATTGATACCATCAATAGATCCGAGCGCAATTGAGTCAAGTGAACATTGTGAATTATTGCGTTGACCCAAATTGCTTGCTGAGTTCTGTCTCATTAACCCACGTCCAAAGCTCCATGTTCCACCAGATGTTGCGCCGCCATTAAGTACATGATTTACACCCAATTTTCGGAAAAGAAAATCTTCGGAGATGGTCTTTTGCAACATGTGTGGTCCTTTTACTTTTTGTGAAAGTCCTGTGAATGGATTTGTAGTGTTGCTCGGTTTCCGTAGTCCTGCAGTCGCTAATTTACTTGAAAGTGTCTTTACATCCGTCGTTTCAGGTGAAGCTTCCGATTCGGAAAAAGACCGGTTACGAAACTGTTGGGGATTTTTAAATATTTTTTTAGCGGTAACTAAAGGATTTACCGAATTTTTGAAATTAAACATTTTTTGTTGCTGCGAATTCATTTCTGGTCGCAAATTATCAACAGTGGTAGATTGTATTTTGCTTGCGTTATTGATATCAGCTGCTACTGGGGCTATTACATCAAGTTGGCTAAAGACACAGTTCGAGTTGTCGTGAAAAGGATTATTGCTGCCGTTCGTAGACAGATTATCATTTTTTGTGTTAACGCAATTCACAGCATTAACATTTGCATCTTTAGAGTTCCCATTGCTTTTGTTATTGTTGTTATTAGAGTAATAGTTTTTGTGCATTTGTAAGGCAGTGCTTGGTTCATATTTTTCGGGTAAGCTCTCGAGAGATTCACAAAGAAAGGGATTTGTGCTTGAGTTATGACGTTTTAATGTTCTAGATTGTTGTTGCTGTTCTTCGTTACTTGAAACTGAATTTTCCTTGTGGTGTGGTTTAGTCATATTTTCATCATTTAAACAAATAGTATTTTGTAATGATATTTGTCTTTTAGTTATTGGCCTTGGAATAGCGGTAGCACATAGCATAGAAGAGGAAGAGGATAGTCTTGGGGGAGGAGGTGCATCAATTGGCTGTAGAATTTTCGAACTAGAATTTTTATTAACACTACTACGCATACATGAAACCAAAGTGTTGCTACGTCTCAGATTATTTTCCAATGGTGAAGTGATTTCATTGACTTCATGCAACGAAAAGGTAACTGTTTTGGTACTACCTGGTGCTGGTGCAGGACGCAAAGGTTGTGGTGGTATGTTGCAATCAGTTTGAGGCAAATTCCATAGTGGTGTTGTTTGTAATGGTGGACCGCTGTAGTTATGATCATCTTTGTCAACTGTGTCAAAACGCTTAAAACTGCCACTCGTACTAAGTAAGAAATCTGACCCCGAATGAATCTGAAAAAAGTGAAAATATATCATATTGTGTTTGAAAATTTTAGTGAATTTGAAATTGCATACCATATAACCATTTGCATGAAAAAGTTTATTTTTTGACAAACCAATTTTTTCTTCTTTATTGGAACGCATCCATGAATTTGTGCGGGGACCCAAACAGTGGCATATGAACATTACAACCATCGCCATCAGTAGCACGCATAGAGCCAAACTTGTAAATGTTATTGGTGAATTATCCATTGTGTTTGTGACCTTATGTGCAATTATTTTAAAAGTGTAAGCGGGTCTTTTTGTTGTATTTTATGTGTGACTTTATTTATTTTATTTTTCATTAAAGCTAGGTTTTTTTTATGCGTAGTGTTAGTTAACATTTTCCTAAAAAAATAGAAATTTTATGCATTTCTAACATTATAAAAATATGTTAGGATTGGTTTACATAAAAATTTTGAAGTTCTTAGTCTCACTTTTACCAAAAAGTGTGGTATTAATAATATTGTATATAATTTTTAATTAATATAATTAATAATAATTTTATTAATAATTTTTATTTGATTGTGCTGACTGTAACTTTTTTAAAATTTTAATAATTGTTACTTATGTTAATAATTCAAGTTAAGGAAAAATTAAAATAATTTTCTTTTTATTAAAAGTAAAATTTCAATACGACAAAAACTCAGTTTTAGAATGTAAAATAAATAATTATCTTATTTTTTTACATTTCTACGAAAATCTATACAAAATGTATTTTTCATGATTTTTATCTATTTGATATTTTTATTTGTTAAGAAGCATTTCCTCTTGGCAAACGCTTTCATCTTGTATCTTTTTACATACAATTCGCATATCTCAATACGTAAATCTGGATGACTATCTCTAGAAACTTTTTGAATGAACGTTTAAATTGTGTGTGGGAATGAGTGTGATAGTGATGAGTTGCGTTGACAGTTTCTTGATTGAATTTGTTATTTGATACAACCCATTTTTACTTCAAAGACAGTAAACCAGAAAAATAATTTAATATTTAGAAATTATTTTAAACTTCATACGAACAGAAATTATTGCTGCCACCTTTTATTAAAGACTAATCGATCGATAAACACTAATAGATTTTGTATATAAAGTAAAGAAAAACTTGTTGAATTTGAATTTCTGATAATAAATACGAAATATGAATTGATTAATGTAAAAAAAGTGAACTTTCCTTAAACACATTATTATTTGCAATTTATTATTAACTAGCTAAACACCGCGAGGATTTGGTATGGCTCAGTCTGATATTAATTTTTCGGAAAGTTTTGTAAATAACGGTATTCTAATGAAAGTAGGTCATCCGAGTAAATAAATTATTTGAACCTGTTAATTAAATATTTTTATCTCGTTTGATTAAAGCTCGAAAAGTCTTATTCTTATTATTATGGTCTCAATGTTCTTAATTACCATATGTTTCTCAATGTTTAGACCATATGTTGTTTTGTCAAACTTAAATCGAAGCTTTACAAGTGGTTTGTTTAAAACGTTTACCTTTAAACAAAAGATCCTGGATAAAAACCAATAATAAGTTGTTTTGAAATGCATTCATATTTTAGTATTCCGATAAACTTGCATAGTCTGTATCTAGAAAATATATTATCTGTGTCTAAAATATTGGAAGACTAGTTCCAGTACATATAGACTGTAAACATCGAGTCGTAGATCAAGTCGTTTTGCTGAATGAATCAATATAAACTACTGCCTATAAACGACTCGGTAATTTCAAAATACTATATTTATGTGATTTAAAAATATGGAGTTAGTTTTGTATAACTAATCTCGTTTTTGCCCAAACATCATGTTAATTTATAAAATTTGGCAACTCCGAAAAATAATATATAATTTAATGAATACAATTAAGAAAAAGCGGACTTTTCTCGACATTTCGTCACAAGCAAAACAAGGTGGGAAGGCCGTGAAAATGGTTTCATCTTATAATTATCAGTTTAAATGATCATTGAGCTTTATATATTCAGTTTTTGAATTTTGTTTGGTATGTGGAAAATAATATGTATGAATAATTATAATTAAATGAAAACAAGCCACATAAAATGAGGCATTAGTTACACTCCGTGCGATGAGAAGAATTGGTAATTCTGTATTTTTGAACATTAAAATTAAGGAAAGGGCAATCTGTGGTCCATATAATTATGTTTAGTATCAGAAAGCATTTGTACGACGTATGTGATGCTAGTTGCACTTATGATAATTTCTATTAACCGGGCAATGTGCAAATGGTTATAAAATATATCATTGTGAAGTATAATTTAAACTTTTCTACCAGAATTAAAACGATTTGTGCATTGGAAAGCTCAAAATGCTAAAGCCGCAATTTCAGCACATGCCATAATGCATATGCCACTGGTGCACTAATAATAAATAGTTTGCACCTTTTTGCCTTCACTTCGTTAGTCGATAGAAGAGTGAATTTGCTGCATAAAAAAAAAATTAGTTGCATGAACATACTAAATTCTGTTATATATCAGGACTTACAAGCTTTTATGTGTTTTTATACTTTTCGCAAAGTTTTCATTAACCTAGTCACAGGTCATTCCACTTCCAGTGGCATAATAGGCAATAGCATCCATGTAACGAGGGGACACACAACCAGATGCCATTGTGCATCGATGGCTTTAGTGGCACAATTAGTTGCTTGTTTGTAGTCTGTAGTTTTGTATCTTTAAATGCGAATTTTGTACTATTAAAGCCGAAAAGTAAAACTTGTTTCTTTTTCTATAACACTGAAGTAAATGCTTTGCATAAATACAATTGCAGATCTAGTGCAGTACACACATAAGAGTAATAACATATGTACACCTTAATGTAATACGATAGAGTTATAATTTCTGTAATATTTTTCTAAATAGAGTATTGTTACAATAATATATATGTATATGTTTACATGACCAGAAGAATGTTATTTTAATGAATATTGAATATAATTAATATTGATATAATTTTATAGCATTATAGTATAGTGTAGACAAAATACCTTTAATATTTTTAAAACTTCTCAGTCGATTACTAAAATTTCTCAACTAATTATTGCTTATATTTAAATTATATTGCGTATATTTTTTAAATTTAAAAATATAATTTTTAAAATATTTTATGTAATATTTTATTTGTTAGTTTCTTGTATTTGTTTTTTTTTAAATATTTATATTATTGAATAATTTTCAATTCATATTTGAGCATTTTGAACATTATTTACTAAAGAAATTAAGTCATACATTGCAAATCCCACAATGTACATGAATATGAATTGAAAGCTGAATTCATATTAGTTATGAAGTGAAATCCTACCCACAGTGTCTATAGCCGCAAATGGGGCTGTATTGTACGTACTCTAAGATATTCACTGGTAAAATTTGTCAGTAAAAAGTTAGCTGGAGTCTGTAAGACAGTAGAAGAAAAGGCAGAACAAAAGTTACGTGGTGCCGTTCTGTAGTGAGAGGCGAAATTAAGCATTTAACAAAAAATCGTGTACGATTCAAATGTTTTATTGGAGTTCTTTGCTTCTCTAACGGAACTGTTGATAATGAAGTGAACTTCATCACCTTTCTCATGATACTCACATCAGTGTTTAGCCACAGACAAATAATACACAGATTGCGAATGCAGAATAAAAAATTTACTCCCTTTGATTTCACGGTAGTCAGCTCAATGAGCACAATGAGTTTTAAATTGTAAAGCAATTAAGGCAAACAAAAGCTGTGTATAACACAATGATCTTAAGTGTTCGAAACGCACGAAAGAGCTGTTGAATGTGCATATGAGAAGGTGTGTGATATAGTATAGAAATTGTTGCTATATTTTCTACTCAAATTGCTAGTTTGGGTGCTTGTGTGATTTATATGTTGACAATTTTCTGTTTTGCGAACTTATGCTTCGATAGTTTTGCTGCATCAAGACGAAAGGGCAATCAGTGAAGTGCAATTTTTTGTTTCTATATTTACAAAATTTTGTTTCTTTTGGGTTAAGATGAAATAAAGAGGAAATGGCGTTCAATAATAGTTAAACACGAAGAAGCGTTGTTTAGTGTTGAATGAAAACACAAATTCCAAGAAATAGTCTTTGCTTTTTGTATACATTTTTTCTAAAATATATGATTGACTTTGTGTGCATGCAATGGACAACTTTTTTAAATTATTATAAATTTGATTTTTGATGAAATTTTATACTGGTCTCATACAAATATATGAGGTTTGCCTATTAGGAGGTGACTACACAGGCAGTAACCCAACCATAGTTGTTATTAGTGCAAATAGTATTAGTATGTACGGCAGTGAAGACAGTACTATGACCTGTACTAGCCATGATATCATAAAGTATGTTAATAAACACCATGTTGTTAAATATCTATTCTACAATTTAAAGCTGATTGTGCTTTTAGCTGGCTACTCGAACTGGCTACCATGAAATCAAAGGGGTCCATTTTTTTGTTCTGCATTCGCAATCTGTATATTATTTGTCTGTGGTTTAGCTTAGCCTTAATATATACTTTAAAATAAATTGATATCAAATTTCCAAGTAACGACATCAAAAATAGAGGAAGAAAAAAAAACTGCAATAATAATTTTAGAAAAAATAAAAGCAAGAAACTTTCATGTTAACTTCTAATGTTAAAAAAAGTTAAAGACTTTACTTTTGTAAATAATTTGTAACGTGAATTTTGATAATGTAATGTTGGTATCTACACGTATATACATATTATATTGTGCAGTAATTATTAATTGAGAAATAAATTTATAGAATTTAATCACATTTATATACAACTACAATAAAGACTTTATTACTAAATACGATTACTGTATTAACCAAATTAATATAAATGGTAGTTTGATCAAATTCTTTTTGAAAATTTATCGGTGGTCATATATGACATATAAGTTACAAAAATAATAGTTATATATTTTATACCACGTTGTTACTATATTTTAAGTTAATATATTTTAAATTACTTTCAGATTATTAAAGGCACAATTTAATCGGCTTAACATATATACATTAATACTCATGGTCATTTTGAAATATTTATATTCATTATTTTATATCATTCCATGCAACACTTTACGTACATACAAGGTCTATAAAAAATTTTTCAAATTATATTTCACTTAGAAGGATACACCTTTTTACGTTAAGATTTCATCTGTAATAAATAAGTAGCACATTATAATAACTTTTAAACGTGGAATTTTTCATAGAAGAAGAAAATAGGAACAAAAAAAATAAGTACTGAAATCAAAGGATAATAGTTTTCCTATTCTTGGTGTTGTTGTGCTGACATTAAGTAAAAATTTTCAGAAGTTCACACTTTATTCTTTTTGGCATAATA